ATTTGTAAGTACTTTTATTAGTGTAGACGTCAAAGGAAATGCTTATAAAGAGTATAAATCAGTTTGTCTTTTAGCTCAGTGTGGTGAGATCCGACAGAAGCCTCATACATTACATTCGATTATTACAATGATGAGGCAGTGTCACTTCTCTATTAACAAGATCAATAATGTGAAGTGTTTAAGAAGGTAGACAGAAGAGCTGTGGATGTGACTGCTCCTCTGTCTTTAGGTAATATTGCCTCTGTTAGAGCTGTGCGTGTGGTGTTTTTTTTCCCTCAGAGATGTTTTGTAGCCCAGTGATCCAACGGCCAAGAGAACAAACAAGAGTGAGAAAAGGAGCCGGCAAAAAAACAAGACAAGGGAGAAACACACACTTTTGCTTTGGCTCGAGTATCAATGCAATTGTCACATGTATATGTACACATGTAGTACATTGTGGTTGCATAATTGTACCAGTTATTTTTTTGTGCCACTGTTTCATCACAAAAAATTGATGGCACGTGACCAGATATTTTTTATTTGTTAGAGATGTGAAGTGATTTCCCTTCTGCCTTCTGAAAAATATAAAAGGGAAAATCTACCTCTGTGCTGCGGGGGAAATATGTCCCTCACCCTGTAGACACCCATGTTGTCTTGCCTATGCTGTTTGTCACGCTAGTGGGTGACATGAAACACGTCGGTTTGTGTGCCCTCTAATATTTGGTGCTGTATATATGACTATTTTATATTTGTACTGTAATATTTCTACTTACGTGTAAATTTTAACTGTTGTATTAAATAAATGTTAAGTGAACACCTCAGTCTGTGATGTTTGTAACTACTTTACTTTGGGAGTAGCTGCAAAATTCTTTGTCTCGGCAGACCTGGAAAAACCTCCATCTGGCTAAAAATACAGGAGACAGTACAGATAGACTAACACTGTTTGACTCTTATTTCGAATGGCAGATTTGTATCATGATTGTCACTGTACTACCATTAACATTGAACATTAACTTGGTGGACAAGACCACCTGAGCTTCCCCTGTGCTTGAAATTTCGATGCTGTATATAGACACATTGCCATGTGTTGCCCTGCCAGCTTGGATGACTTGGTCAGAGACGTGTGGGATGCTTTGGTTGTTATGATAAACAGACTGGTAGCTACCAAGCAGAAGGAATGTCACCCCCTACTGGCACAAAGGATAAAGATATTCTGCATCAGAGGTTTGTGCGACTGGAAAAACAATTCAGTTCACCAGTTTGTTTTATGTTTAGAAACACTTTTCTTCGCTGACGGGTAACTGTGCTGGGAAACCGCTGTGGGTGTGGAGAGAACAGTGCTCGGGTCTGGATGAAGGGCGGGGAGGCCAGCGGGGTAAAGTGCAGATGGGATGGAAGTGGACAGTTGGATTGCTGGGGTCAGCAGAGATTTACAGGAAACCAGATGGGAGCAACTCATCCGCCTCTCAGTCTCTAGGACTTGGCTTCAGTCACAAGCATTCAGCTCTATTTTGCCTTTTTATTATTATAATACCAAACCGGCATCAGTTCCAAAAGCAGAAAAACATGACCTCATTAGGTTTGGATTCAAACCATCTGCAGTGTGGTTGACTGATGACTGGATTTATTTTTTTATTCAAATTCCTGATCAATAGCATCTGTGTAAAAGACGGCTCAGCCTACGTGTTTGATTAGCCACTGCCTGCTGTTGGCTCCTAATGAAACATTTATTGTAAGATGGAGTCACTGTTAACTAAAACAGCTGTTTTGGAGGCAGGTGTTGACAGGATTTACACTTGTCTGGCTGGACAGTCAAATTCAATTACAAACAAAAGGAAATTAAGAACAGTCACAACACTGGTATATTAGTAAAAACTACTGAGATGAAAAGGTGTAACACACTGAACAGCCCCGTCACTTCCCGTGTTCTAGTAATTTTTCATCTGCTGTCACTCTGTTTCTTTCAATCTCACATATCAGTGTTTCAGTCATCACTTAATCTGATGTGCACATGTTTTACCAGTAAAAAGGGACCTTGATGAAAACTCTCAAAACATATATTTTATGGACATGAGAGCTCATTAGTCTTCAACCACAAAGCCTTGTCCTTCTTTAGATATCAGCTTGAACCCTTAAATATATATATAATATAAAGTCTAACACCTCTCACTGTTCCCCACTTACAACCTCCGCTGCTGCTGTCTGCCATGTTTGTATCGACAGAGCGACTCCAGCCTGTGCGGTGTTGTGACGACTGTTGCTCCAGAGTCAAGGTCACATGCATACGACCTGTTTCAGTTTTTGCAGTCTGAATGTAGCCTTAGTTTGCAGGAATACACACAAAATCTACTGGAAGAATTTTCATGAAAATGAAGGGTGTGGGATGAGTCAAGAAGAACCATTACACTTTGGATCTCACATTGTGAGATAGGATCTGTTTCGCTGTTTTCTCAGAGAATAATTCATGGATCTTGAGGGGGAAAAAATCAGAGATGATTAGGGGACTGATATTTATGAGTGTGTTTTGTTTGGTGCAGATCCACATAAAAATATGGATCTAGTGAATTTAAATGTGGTTTCATAAGGTGACTGTTGGCGGAGGTTTGAGCTCCACTGAGTAAAACTGGTTTAAGATAGTAGGCTGTGCATCATAATATCACAACAAGTGGCAAAATCATACAATGCCATTTAAAGTCAAAGACAGCAAATGATAAAATACAAAATAAAACAATCAAGTAAAAAAAACAATCTTTTAGTACATTTTTCTATAACATTTTTCTTGTGATATCACTCTTTCTTCCTTATCTTTTAAATTCTTGTTTGACTATCTTTTATTTATACTGTCATGTTTCTTCTTTCTCCCTGTGAAATTTAGTCGTTTATAATGTTATTTCTAACATTTAGACCACAATTAATTGATTCATGACTAGATTTGAACCCTTGTGATTCATGGCTGTCAAATCAGAACTATTTATAGTGTGCTCTGCTGTCTGTTTCATTAATTAATACATTCCCACATCAGAGGCAGTTGTTATGAAGTAAACTGGTCAGGCGGGAAGTCATCAATCTCTCATCTACTTCTCAAAACAAACTCAATGACTTCCTGTGGGAGGCTTTATAACGACACATCCCATCAGTAAAATAATGGATGCTTGGCAATGAAATACTTTAGACTCAGATTTCACAGTTTTTTTGCGCTCAGTACAGCTTTAATTTAGGTTAAACCCACCAACCAATCTGTTTTCCCTTATAGCCATTACTGGACCCTTTGTGTTTTACTGACAAAATGGTTGAGGTTGGTTGGGAGGTTTCTATGGAAACAGTGACTGCACTCGAGTTGAGGATGTCACAGCCCCCCTGCCCCATCTGAGGTCACCCGGTTACGAGATGATTTGATCATACAACAATCCTAGTATGACATACAGCAAGAAACACATGCCTCACTTGGTGCAGAGAAAAACAGCAGAAAATTGATTTTCTTTATTCACCATCACACGTCTACGTTGTAGAAGAAGAAAAGGCCCGAATCTCTGAATTGACTTGCCCTATATTGAAAGGTGGATGTAATGTTTCCCATTATTGCTCTTGTAGGTGATGATGTGATTGGGAGAGCAGTTGATCAATAGATGGTCTGAAAAGGATTAATGATTACCTATGGTGGTTTACTCAGCTCCTTCATGACCCTCTCCTAAAGACCAGCAATTAAGAGGACACTATTCAGCAGAGTGAGCGGTGGTCTATTCTCTCACACTGGGGATCCAATGCTATAGTCTAAATCATAATGTAATTTACTCAACGACAGCTGTGTCAAAGAAAGGAACCAATCTGTTGCTTTATTCTTTACCCCTCTGCATGCTCACACACATATTGATGGATTAGTGTGTGTGTGTGTGTTTTCCCTCACATACATCGTTTTTATTAACATATGTGCATCCCATTGTAGCAATTGAACATATACTGCCTTGCTTCTATATCTTTTCTGCAAATATTGATGTGCATTCAGCAGAATTTTCTTTATTTCTAATTCTTTCTGAATTTGTGCTGAACTGATACTGATATGTTGAGGTTTCTCTATTGACAAGACAAATATGTTACAAAATAAAAAGGTGACGTGATTTTTTAAAATTGAACCATCATTTTTGATTTTGAAGACATAACACAGTAATAGGTGCTGGGGTGGGATGAGCTCTGGGTTTCAGTGACAAGATCTTATGCAATTTATTTTCACAGATAATTACACATAATGAAATAAGATTAAAGCTAATTGAGATTTTTTATTATTTACAATTGAGCTCCAGGGGATGAGACATAACTCACTTACATCAATTATTTAAAACAATAAACATGTAATAGTAGAATCAGACTCAGAATTTGGGTTTATTGCCAAGTTGGTATATGCAAATTTATTTTGTTGATGTTCTCAGTTACACGCAGCATCTATTGCACTTCTGTCTGCCCTGGGAGAGGGATCCCTCACATGTGTCTCTCTCTGAAGTTTCTATGTTTTTAATTCCCCTGTTAGAAGTTTTTCTTGGTAGTTGACTCTTGTTGAGGGTTAAGAACAGAAGATGTCGCACTTTGTTGAGCACAATGAGAAAACTAGTGATTTGTGAATATGGGCTAAATAAATACAAGTTAGATTTCAAAGTTCTTTCTCTTGTTCGATGCTGTAGTTGTACTGGTGTTGATCTGATTGTGCGCGTGTCCCTTTAAACGTGGTACCTTTAAACACGCACTTCCTGCTCGACTACACCTCCCACAATCCGCAATAAAATGGGTGGCTCCCTCGCACGCGCTTCATAACCGGGTCAACCAATCGCACGCCTTCCCTTGGCGAGCGCGTACTTCGAAATGCGGTCATATTGTCCAATGACCTCTCGACTTTTCACAGTTTATAAAATCTGACCAATCGCTGCCGTGGCTCCCCGCGCCGACCAATCGCAGGGCAACGGGACAGCCGGTGGGCGTCAGTTCGCTCGACTAATCAGATTGAATGTGGCGTTTAAACCGTGAGCGCGGGCGGTGCTAGAGCAGCAGCGGGGGCGGGTCCAACTAGTGAGTAAGCGTGCGAGCATTTGAATTCTAGCAAGAAGAAATTTTTCGCTCCGATATTAACCAACTTGTTCTCACAGCAGAGACCCGGAGCCGCACCGCACCGCACGGCGCCGCACCGCAGCGCAGCACAATACACCCCGGAGTCACGCACGAGTCTGTTAAAGTGTGATATTAACTTTAGCATCGACGTTTAAATAGCTCCTCGTTTGTTCCAGCTAACGTTCCAGGCGTCGCTGCTCGAGGAGACTCCACTGCACTTGAAATGAAAGCGGGCGGTAAGTAGCTTCAATCGACTTTAACTTTACACCCCCACCACCACCACCATTATTAAACATGCATCGTGTGTGTGATGTGTGTTCGTGAGCTAGCGCTAAAACATTCTAGCATGACTAGAGTTAGCTTCGGCAACTAGCTGCTAGCCTGCACTGACGCTAACCGAAGTAGCCGCAGATCCCTCCTGAAGTTAACGCAGTTTTAAACGCGTTCATGTTTGGTGTATTCGCATTAAACGCCTCGTGCGATGTCCCGTTAAAGGTTTGCGGGGATGAGACACGAGCGTTGGAAGCTGATCTTGATCACAGTCCGGGGGTGACTTAACGCGAGGGTTCGAACCACAGGAGGGAAATTTGGGCGCTCACTCGGTTTGACTTCTCCCTGTCAGATGCTCAGCTCACCGACATTAAGAAGATATCACCACCCACATTCATATCTGATATGAAGTTATGTGTCTTTCACCTATCCACCAATTTATACATGATCACTTCCAAGCAGAGGGTTTGTCTGGAGCAGTCATTTTGAATGTGGAGCCACAACCTTCACCTCGCTGTGCCTTATTATCTGCTTACTCACCACTTGCCTGCTTTAGATGAACTGCAAATATTAGTTTGACACCAATGTGAGAATTAGTTTTCCAGCCCTGCACCTAGATGTGAAATGCTTTTGGGTGATTTGTGTGTGTCCACTTCAACTGTCCTTATCTAACTGCCTGTTATGATACATGAATTGTCTAACACCTAATGTTCCTCCCTCTTGCTCCAGTCCACTGCCGTTGTTCAAAATGCTACTCGGTTCCGGCACGGAAGCGGGTCCGTAAGCGAACTCCAGCCCTGACTTTGCTGTCTCTGCCTGAGGAGGTCCTCCTCTGTGTGCTCCAGTGCCTCTCTGCCGAGGACCTGCTGTCTGTCAGAGCGGTGAGTAAACAGACTGCACACACTTTAACACTCCTACACAACCTCTAGCGTGTGTGTGTGTGTCTTGGCATCCCAGATTTGTCCTGGTTCCACATCTTGTGACCACTTGACCTAATGGATCATTAAGTCTTCTGTGTTCAAGAACTAATTGTCTTCTTCTGCCACAGGTTCACTCCCAACTGCGGGATATTGTTGACAACCACTCCAGTGTCTGGGCCAGGGTCAGTTTCAGGGACACATGGCCCTCCCCTAATACCTTGTGGCTATTTGAAAGGTACAGTCAATTCCATCAAATTGAAGAATAATAAAACTCACCAATATATTTCTTCTGAATTACCTTTTTTAATATAATTTTTTTTCCTCTTCCTTCAGAGCTGCTGAAAAAGGGAATTTTGAAGCTGCTGTGAAACTAGGCATTGCGTATTTGTACAATGAAGGACGTAAGTTCCACACTCAACAATGTCCAAATTCAACCATTTCCTTCTTTTCCTATGTTTATGTAATACCTTGCAAGATGATCCCGGTTGAAATAAAGGTCAAATGATATTAGATCTAAAACCCTCTTGCTGAAAAGTAGGGTGATCACAGCTCCTCACTCGTGCCTTCTTTCTCTCCACCAGCATTGCTGAGTGATGAGGGCCGAGCAGATGTGTGTGGTCGTAAGGCGTCCCACTTCTTCAGCCTGGCAGAGAGCCTGTGCCCTCCCACAGCTGATCCCTTCATCTGGTTGTTCATCCGTCCTCCATGGTCGCCCACCGGCAGCTGCTGCAAGGCCGTGGTGTTTGACCGTCTCAAGGCTGAGTGTGACACCAACATAGTAAGTTTTGCTTCTGCCAGTTTAAAGGGCAGACGAACATAGATTTTTGTTGGGCATGTATCAATAATTGGCAAACAGGAATGATGTTCCTTCTATTTACTTTTGTGTCAAATTAAAATGAGTTTGACGCCAGTAGCCACAAGAGTATGCAGTAATTAAAATAAATAACTGTAACCCAAAGGAACATTTTTCTGATGCTTTCTTTCTTCTGACCATTCAAATAAAATTCTCTCCCTGCTCTTTATCTAAGAGTTCTGCCGACAAACCCTGTTTTCAGATTCTTTTTGGGTTTTGTCAGAGATCCAAATTGAGCTCTAAACAATGGTGATGGACTCTCATTGCTTTTAATTGGTATAAAAAACTGCCTTGATCTAAATTCAGCAGACTTAACTTTCCCCATTTCTATGAAATGATCGATGTCGTAACTGATCTAATGATCACATGAAGAAGATATTAATCTGTTGAAGAATTTCAAATTGTTCATGTTTTTTCTCTTGTCTCTACAGGAGAAGAGGGGCCCCTTATTGCACTGTTTGGCGAGAGTTTTGCAGCTGTTTGAAGTGAGTATGAAAGCGAGACTGTATCTGATTGTCTGGGTGTGGTCAGTCCAGTTTCTATCAGCCTCTCATCAAAGATCAGAGCTTTGTGCTGCTGTCACACAGGACTTTCCGACTAGTTTTTTAGATGTAGAAAAGTGAAGAGTTTTTTGTCCAGTCATCATATTACACAACTGTTGCCCTAGATTCCCTGTTGATTTCCTCGTACACTCTGGTGAGCTTTGTCTTTTAAGTGCGACAAATGATTTCACGCAGCTTAAATGGAACCCTTATTTGTTTTCCAGGATCTTGACAGATTCATTTGTAGTTGAGAAAATGTGAGACTTGTTAAATGTGCAGGATCAAAACATTTAGTCTGACATGCTAGATCTTTAATCTGGTATCCTTTTAACATTTTTCAGGGGGATGAAAAACACTCAGATGCCATATCTATGCTGGAGGAGTCTTCGCAGGCTGGCTGTCTTCAGAGCTCCTACCTGTTGTGGGAACACAACCGTAAATCAGCTGTGAGTCTTAATCTCCTCTTTAGTATTCTTCTCAGACACACTCTTAGAAAAATTGACCTTATTGATTGAACCTTTTTCCATTTCAAACATTTGTCTATAGTATTTGAAACTTGTATTAAAATAAAAATGCTTATGGTTTCACTAAACTAATAAATGTTTTATTGAATACCCGGTAAAAGCCTTTTCAGGATTTTCATTTGACAAATGTGGCCAAAAGCAGATGATGAAATAGGTTTCTCATTTTTGAATTTCAGATGGCAGATCCAGGCCGGTACCTCCAGTGTGTCCGAACCCTCAGGGACTATGCTGGCAAAGGATGCTGGGAGGCACAGGTGTGTAACAGATTTGTGTCTAAGGGCAGTACAGTAAAACAGGACTGGATAAGATGTTCTCAGTGAAGCACTATTATGCAGAGTTAAGAGGTCCTGACAGTTTTTGCCTCCTCAGCCTTGAAAAGCTGTTGCTGCATCATAGATTCACAAAAACTGTGATTCATCATTGTCACAGGCTCTCTAATCAAAGTAGCAAACAATGGCTGTACTCAACCTTGTTCTTGTGATTTTAAGATTTTAATCAATTCAAGCAGCTATCAAGCCACTTTAAACCCGTTTGAAATACTGAAACATGTCTTTTTTTCCCCAGTTTTCCTTGGCCAAAGTGTGCAGCAGTGGGAACCCGCTGGGTTTGGAGGCGAAGGCCTGCTCTGACTTGGTGGCCCAGCTCTTTAATTCGTCTAATCTGGCATCACAGCGCTGCTCTCAGGGCATCCTCCGACGAGGCATCAAGGACACCATGAGGTAGACAGGAACAGAAACGGTGCCATGATCAAAGTCTGTTTGTGAATAATATCTGCAAACAATTAAATTGTCCTATGAGTCATTGTGATGACTCACTCTGTTTGGATCATCTTGCATGTCTTTAATGAAGTTACCAATAAGTAGATGAAATAGTACACTAGCACAAGGTTTCTCAGTAAATAAAAGGAAACCCTTTCCCTCTAAGCCAGCAACACGATGATTCGGCCATCATAACTGATTTATAATATTAAATACTTATAGGGGTTTGCAGTTAGTTTTGACCTCAGATAATCTTAAAACACAAGACTCTTGACAAATGTCTTCAAATTATTGCATATGCATGTCTCTTTCTGCCTCTGTAGGTACATCCTGGTGGACTGGCTCGTGGAGGTGACCACCATGAAGGATTTCTCCAGCCTGACACTTCATGTCACAGTGGGATGTGTGGACCGCTACTTGGCTCTCCGCTCTGTCCCGAAGGCTCGCCTTCAGTTATTAGGCATCGCCTGCATGGTAGTTTGTACACGGTGAGAATATCCCTTCTCATGTCCATCTTGTAATTATTGTTGTGGTGATGACTATCCAGATGTGTATTTTGAGTTTAATTAATGCAATTTCGTTGGAGATTATAATAATTGTTTGGGCTTTTATGACACCATTTGTTTGTTGTTCTTACAGCTACATGAGTAAAGAAATCCTGACCATACGTGAGGCTGTTTGGCTCACTGACAACACCTACAAATATGAGGACCTGGTTCGAATGATGGGAGAGGTCATCTCTGTGCTGGAGGGAAAGATCAGAGTGAGTACAACAAATTAAACTCTAATGCAATATTTGTGTGTTCTTCAGAGGTCTATTTTCCTGCCAAAGCATCTCTTTTGAAGAGTCTATAATTTGAACAATTTCATTTCCTATAGAGCCCCACACTGCTGGACTATGGGGAGGTGCTCCTGTCTCTGCTCCCCCTGGAGAGGAGAACCACTCACCTCTTCAGCTACATCTGTGAGCTGTCTCTGCTCTACTCTGCTCTCGCCACACCACAACCCGCCAAACTGGCCTGTGCTGCACTCCTTCTTACACGAGCACTACATCACTACGGTAATAACACTCACTGACACACAAGTACAACCTGCCAGATTGAAAAGTGGCATAGAGTCACTATTTAAACACTGTCACATAATGCAAAAACAAAGCAAATTTACAACTTAAGTTAAGTCTAAAGTTTATTTTCACTTTAACATTGTCTATGGTCTTCCTCTCTGCAGCTCCAGTCTGGCCTGGCCAGTTGGCTGACTACACAGGCTTCACCAAGCATGACCTTGTCTCTCTTGCTGTGCTGCTCTATGTCAAGTGGTGAGTTTCTCACATCGTGTGCAAGCAATTTATTTTCTAATCCTCCTCCTTTATCCTCCAATCTCACCCAGTCTACCAGGTCAAGACATTCACATAGAGACATGTGTGAAACTTCACAGAACGAGCACTCAAACCATTTCTTTAACATGAATTCAAGTGATCAGCCATGATTAGATCAGGTACAAGAATTACATTGGTGTTACCATGACCTTGGGAAAGAAAAGGTAGAAATGATATATGCTCTTGCAAAACACATTTGAATTTTGGCCCAAAACAAACTAGTTTCACAGCGACCACAGAAATCAGTTTTCAAAATGTATCTGTTGAATCGGTGCAGTCTGTGTTGCTACACATTTAATTGGGTCTGATTGGTGCATTATGTTTCTCATATTGGACGTCATAGGAAGCAAACTTGCTGCTAATCTATAGCATTATCTAGCTTTCTAAAAGCTGAATAGTGTTAAACACAGACTATGCACATTTATACTATGCATAGTTTTAGACCAAACAACAATCTCTGAACATACAAAGGAGCTGTTGACTTGTACTGTGTGTTTGCTGTAAATTACAGGTCCATTAACTGTGTGTACTGAAGTGGAGGTTGAACCCCTGCAGATGAACACTTGGCTCATTGTTGCTTAGGAACATTGTTATGCCCTCCCCTTTATTTTACAATGATTCTGTGTGTAGGTTCTTGCCCTAAATACAAAGGATGAAAGTGTGCTGCGAAAACGGTTCAACACTGCTTGTACCCCTTTCAAAGAATACACAGAGAACAACTCATTAAGCATAATCACCGGCTACACATTTCTATTGTGTATATTCCCTCTACTTTCCCCCAAAATCCACAGCACATTGCACATAATAAAATTAACCACAGTCACTATTAAATGAAGCACAAAGTAAAGTTTCTTTAAAAAGAACAAATATTTATTCATATAAAAAAGTTTAAACCATGAAAAAAAAGGGAAAACGATTTAATTGGGACATTTTTAAAAGCCAGGTTTGGGAATACCCTTGTACAGCAATGCAAATTCCACATCTGGTATTTGAAAGCAGTCTTGTTTGGCGTGTTGAAAATCTGATTCTGTAATCACATAACTGAAGCCTTTCACAACAATGTTGCAATTTTTCAATGGTCATGTCATAAGCCTGGTGTTTATTACTGAAACTTGGTCCAGTGATGACTTCAGCTCTGTTTAATAATCTATGGTTTCCAACGTGGAAACAACACAAGAACAGAAACAAATGCTCAGACTTCTTTGAAGAAGTATTGATTATTACTCATTGATTCAACTTACTGTGTGTGTCTGTGAGTGTGTGTGTGTTTGTCAGTAAATCTCCAACTGAGTCACAGAAACGTGCCTCAGGGTGAGTCACTTTGATAGGTGAGCGTTGTATCGACAAACTAATCCCCAAATGGACAAGTAACAAGATTTGCTTCTAAGAGTTGATTATAGATATGCAGGAAGCAAAGTGGATCAAACTCAGTCATTTTCTCTTTTTCTGCCACTCTCTTTCCCTCCTCAGTTTCAGTCCAGATGTCCCCAAAGATTACAGACACGTGTCTCTGACTGGAGTCAAGCAACGATTTGAAGATGAAGTCTACCAGCACATCAGCAAAGAAAAGGTACTTTTATTTTTCTCTCTAACAGGCATAGGAAAATCTAAAATTGTGGCACTGTTAGTCTCCAATTGCTTATGTGAATGTAATTGGTTATTCATTTTATTTTATGGCCTTCACAAGATGATGGATTATAAAGAACTGTGTCAGATCCTGGAGATCCCTGAGGTGGAGCCTCAGATGGAGCCTCCCAGCCCGACTGGTCAACCAGCAGATATCCACACCTTCCTTGCCTCTCCGTCCAGCACCAGCAAGAGGTAAGCTGGTTCCCCATTACAACCCATTAGAGCTGAGTGGTGTATAAAGACAAGAAAACATGGTCTAAATGTTGATGCAAAGGAATACACAATGGAGGAAAGCGATGACACTACACTTGATCAATAATGCAGTGCACCTGATGACCCCGAGGATATTTTATGTTTGTCATTAAATATTTTATGATTATGTTTGATTATATTATCCTGTTGTGGGCACGCAGCCTTACTGGGCTTTTACGGTTTAAGGCTAAAAGCTACTCACTATCTAACTGAAAAGTGTCCCCTGCCCCCACGTCTCCTCTTGCTCCTTTAGCAGTTCTCTCTCCGTGCTGAGTCTCCTGTGCTCTGTGACAAATGCACTTGTGAGGCGTCTTGTCCAGAAGGTGTTTGTTCGTGCCATCTGTGAGACTCCAGTGACTCACTGTAACCCACTGCTTGTCCACTCTCTCCCAAGGAGACGCGATGACGGCATGCAGACCCACAGAGCCAGCTTTGTGGCCACGCCCACGGCTGAGCTATCCAGTCAGGAGGAGACACTGGTCGGCGACATTCTGGACTGGAGCTTGGACACTTCCTGTTCGGGTTATGAGGGGGACCAGGAGGAAGAAGGCGAGGGGGAGAAAGATGGTGATTGTGAGTGTTGAAAAAAAAGAGTAGGAACTGGCTGCCCACATTTATTGATGTGTGATTACCAGTAAATTCTCAAAGGTGTTCTTCTGTAAAGTATATAAATGACGTAATCCATACCTAGAGGGGATGAATGCATGAGTCAGTCCTCTGGTAGTATGCGACAAAGGATGACTCAGCAGTTGTCCAGCATAGTAAGCTAGTTCATAAATTTAAGCCTTAACTATACACAGGCATTATGAATAAATTTGGATGAATGACAGTAGCTGCACAGACTTAATTACTGTCTAAAATGTTGTCAGAATGACTCACTTTCATAAACTGAAACCGTATCTAATCCATTAGGTTCAATGATATCCATCAAACTGCTCCCTCTGACTGACACAGAAGAAAACCTTGAGCACTGCAGAGCCCTTTCCAGTGATGAAGACAGTTTCTGTGAAGTGGAAAAGGAGGTGAAAACAGATTCCCAAGGCCAGGAACCCCTCACCTCCTCTATAGACCTTCACAGTTCAGGATACTCCTCTGTCCAGAGTGTTAGCCCCTCATCCACCTGCTCCTCCTCCTCCCTCGTGCCTTGCACATTTAAGACCTATATGTCTTCTCTGGGTGCAGCCTCTGCCAACGCCCAACCAGGCTTCCATCTTTTGGTGCCCATGCAGAGGCCCCGGGGCACGTCCAGCAAACAAGTGAAGAGGAAGAACTCTGCGGCTCATAGTGGAGGCGAGATAGAAAGGGAAGAGGATGACAACAGGGAAGAGGACAGGTATTCTAACAGTGTGGGGTTTCTGAGCCTATAACCGGTGGTTATTTTATCCTCCAGCACTTTCCTTTAGTTCTCGACGTGGATCCTCAGTCTGTCAGCTTTGCGAAGACCTAGACATTTTGAGTTCAAGACAAGTAAGGGAAAATAATTATATGAATATGAATTACCTAGAAACTTGCTGTTCTTTTACAATACATTTCATTTCCTTGTTTACAGTCATTCAAATACCTCCCATGAACCTAGACTCACAGTCAGCTCTTAAACCACTGGAACATATCTTCATTTTCCTCAGGACTCTGGTACATTGGTTGCCATTTTTGTTTTACAGCCTTCTGCAACAAACCTCAAAACATGTCACATCACAGACTTGTTTGGGGAAAGTTTTCATTGTTGAAATCATGTTTTGGAAAGCCTAGCTGTCATGTCATTGTGACGGTTTTGGTTATCATAGTCTCTGGTATGCACTGTTAGGAAAATGGTGTGTCGTATTTGGTGAAAGCCATCAATAAGCGACAACTCTGTCATCGTCTTTGTTGATGAAAATGTCTGTATCTGAAAATGTTACTGTATTAATACTTGTTCAGTTTTGTACTAAGTTCTACATGTGTTTGCCAAAGGTACTGTGGTGGTGTCATTTGTGTTTTCACGGGCATCTACTTAAAAAGAAACAGCTGTGAAATTAGTCTTTTAGTCGTCTGCATCTTCTGTAGTCTTGTACAAATACACCTGATATGCTGTTATTAATATTTTGAAACAATATTACCGTAACGGCATAGCAACGTCGTCAGGAACACCAGACCAACGTAAAGATGTTAACTATGGAAATACTGACGCACTATATGTTCAGTAGAATGTGCCGGTAATGGAACGAGCCAGGAATCACCATCTGAATGAGTATTCTACTAAGTGTTTGGTGTATTTGGTGCTGCAGTCTACTCTTCAGCTCAGATGTATAGAGGCACCCGATGAAATATGAAACTCTTTATGTGCTGATGAGTTGAACTAGGTTTAGCACTTTTATCATAACCGAAGGGGAGCAACACAATGAAATGTTACTATTTTTAAGCTTGAACAATCAATATAAAAAGTAAAATATATTTTTAATGGATTGGACTTGGCTCATTCGAAAGAGATGGAAGTTCAGACACTAAAGGAAAATTCTAACTCGATGGCAGAGTACACATTGTCTCAGTGATTATGACCTACTAAATACATTTTAAACTGTTGCTCAATACTGGTTATCGCCTGTGTTTTATAAATGTACATAGTACAATATGTATAAAAAGAAGAATATGCCACTATTACTTGAAATTGTTATCGCTTCATTCCAAAAAGGCAGTTTTCTATGTGAACCTCGATTTTCTACAACACAGTATTTCCTCTTTAGATCTGTGATGTGAATGTCATTTTTGTATTAAGTCCAAATAAAAAAAGCCATCATGCAAGTTTCTTCTGTTTCATTTTACATGCATTGACCACCACACAGTTTCATTTAATCGACTCCGAATTGTTTCCTGATTACAGGAAGTGAGATTGAGTTTGGTCATAAGAATCTTGTTAATGTATTGTAGTTTGCTGTGATTCTACCAAACAAGCATTTTTTCCCTTAAACTTATACTTATTGCTTTTTAAAAGTAAGGCTAGTGGAAAACATACTTGTTGTGTGATTGTATTTAAAAGCTGAGTTCAAGTTGTTCAAGGCTTCGTCTGGAACAGGCAACAAGGTGTGAGAGACTTGATCTCTAAAGCAATGCACAATGCTTGGGAAGTGGTGTTTAGTAGAGAAAAGTTTATTGACTGAACTGTACTATATATATATATATATATATATATATATATACGAAAATAGCTAACATCCAAAATAGTTTACTATACGATATGAATATATAAACGTAATGTCAATTTCTCAATTGGATGCAGTATGACAAGAATGAAAAATAAAAATGGTATATACACACACAACCTAATTGATGAATTAAATGATATTTGAAGAATATGTTGAGGTAAATTATCAGAATAACAAAAACTATACGACACTAAGTTTGCCAATATTGTTTCTTTAAAATATCAATAAACATAAACCAATCAAATCCTTTTTGTCAGGGATGTCTTAAACAAATGTGGTGAAAAACATGTATTTGAATAAGTATATGTCTGAGGCAGGATATTTTACCATTAGCACACATTATATTATAATACATTTTGGTATATGTGCAAAATGAAATGTTCATCAAAACACAACCCAGCATGTTTTGATATAAATACAAGAGAAAAACATAAAAAGCGTGAAATATATGACAAATAAGTTTTCTTGCAGATGCAGCCATGAATTCCAGCTGTTGCGATCACGTGACAGTCCAGGTCCAGTCAGGTCACGTGGTGTGTTTTGTTGACGGTTGTCCCTACATTTTGTGATGCGTTCACGGGCAGCTGCTGCAATGTCGCTTTGCTAGCGGGCACCGGAGCGGACTGAAGCAGAGAAGCCCAGACACCCGGACCCGGGCCGCAGACTACACGTCCTGCCGGGTCACTCATGCCGAGCCGGGCCGAGCCTCGGCGGTGTCGGTGAAGGGAAGAAGCCCCCGCAGTGATGCTATCGATGCGGGTTTGAGACAGGAAAAGGAGGAAGTGCTTTTCACCTCGACAGGAGCGCAGCTTTGTGGAGTTCACGTGTCTGGACCATTGTTTTTAAAGGTAACTGAGGACGAACCATCACCGGGTCCGTTCACTCGTATGTATTCGGCCGTTTTGGGAGCGAGTCAGCGGGTTATTATTTGTGAAAACACCGAGCTTTGTCCTCCAGCTTCCATTATTAGCATTCATCAGACTCCACGGGGGTTTGACGGGCAGGTCGCTTGTCCAATCCGGGGCGTCCACTGGGCTTCACGGGACCAATCAGACACGAGGGGGGCGGTTTTCATTCACTAAGGAAAACACTCAGGCCTGTAATGACATTTATTTTTAAAGCGTATTGTTAAACAGAGCGAAATAAAAGAGCCACGATCCCTCTGTGTGTGAAGCAAAGTATTATACTAGTGTTGCTTTAATGGATTGTGTGCTGTTTTGTCAAATGTGAGTCAACTGAGATGGAGACATTGGGGAAATGTGGCTTCATGTTATTGATCATGCTCTCTCCTCTGCATGTATGTGATTATCAATGCATGGGAACCCTCATATTACACGTGGGTTTAACATTAGAGGCCTTTCTCGTGTAGCTTCGACTAAAAACTAAAACCGTCGCTTGTCCAACTGGTTCAACATGCAGATGTCAACTAGTGGTTTTCCCAGTCTTCATCTCGTATGTTTTCTTGTTCCATGCTGAAGTAATTTCCTGCAGATGCTGATGTCAGACCCCCCCCCCCTCCATCCCAGGCCTCGTGTTCTTGTTTTTTCTGAATTTCTTTACTGTGAGTTATTGAATATATAAAAATATCTTGTTTTCTCATTGTGATCCTACTGATTGCCCAATTTCACTTCTCCCTTTTCCCCCTTTTGATAAATAGGAACCGAGATCAGAAACTGACACAGTTGAGCAGAAGCCGTTTCAAAAACTCAACTTAACCTTTTTGTAACCGTTTTAAAGAAAGGGGCTTTACCTGAAGCTCTAAATGTCAATTTCTGTCTGTCTCCATCTACTGTAGAAGTCTGACGGGACAGAGCCCTGTGCTTTCATCCAAAATGGCTATTGTGAGGCAATTTGGACTGCTGGTGTGGAAGAACTATCTTCAGCAGGTGAGTTTGAAGAAGGTGCACCCACACCCACGCTCGGGAACTCTGGAGGATGTCTAGAGAATTAGCTCCAGACTCTCTTTGGATGTTGCCTTTCACACATGCACAAATCTTCGGGTGATTCTCCACTCAGATGCGTTCACAACAACAAACCTCCGCAGGGTTCAGGTGAGCGGTGGTGCAGAGGCAGCACGTAACGTTACTAATTCTGCTGCGGAGTTCATGTGTTGTTGTTTACAGCACATCGACACCAGCGTCTGCTCTTACCACCAAAAGCGCTCTTGGCATCTTTGTCTGTGTCCTCTGTGTACATGGCACTACTTTTTCATCTGGAGACATTTATATTATTTCAGTTTTGCGTCTGTCGCATGTTAGAAACCCCATCAACATGCCGCTGCGGCAAGTCCTGTGGAGGATCACCTGCTGTGTTCTCACATCGGAGGCTTTCGAACACACATACAGCTCCTCTGGATCATTTCCCGTGGATCTCCTAAGTTCAGTGCATGTCTGAAAGCAGCTTGTGTGTCCTTATTAGGTGGTGACAATGTTTGCGACTGTGAGTCGTCAGATGTAGCTGTGTTTACATAGTGGAGTCTCTTATAACAGTATTTAATGAGGTATGGGCTCATGTGCCATCATAAATACAGTGATCTGACTTAATATTTTGTTTTCTGCAAATTAATGATGTTACCCAGCGACTTGGCAACTGGCCGACCCCACTGTGTCTGCACTGTGTTGTAGTATCTTAGGCTCCAGCTTGGTCAGCACGTTAGTGGCCGTCACATGCTATTCCTCACCATGTAAGGCTGCTTTGGGGAAATCATTATTAGAACCTTCAGTTACTTAGTTGCTCTGTTTATTTATTGTTGTGACATATATGAGACAGGTATCATTACAAGAATGTTGTGCAGTTGCTGATTCATGTGTCTGTGTTGTATATTTTCTTTTTTAATTTGTTGGGTAACGTGTTGAGCAGGTTTACACACACCTGATCATAACCAACAGGAGAGACAGGCAGTCTTACTGTAGCTGTTTACTCAATTCTTGCACAAATATGAAGTTCGTGGAACATAATATCAGCTGACTCAGGTTCTGTCACAGTTTATAGTAGATAGAAAAATGTTATACAGCCAAAAATGTTGATTTTTATGGTTGTGGAGTCTTGGCACATGTCTTGCTGTGTATTGCTCTTTATGACTGCTTGCGTAGCATTAACATCAGCTGATGGTTTCGCAACTATTCAGAAATGGAATTTTTTGGTTATCAGCTGCATAACATGTTGGTGTGAGGAGGCTGTTACGCCATATCGCTCTTTGGCAACCCACTGCTGCACAGTTGTGGTTGTCCAGAGACTTAAGAGACTCCATTAGGACCGGTGAGGAAAAAAACAACTGTTGGTGTGTATTCACCATCTTAGCGGCACAACAGAGATTCAGGGTAAATGTTATTCACATAATCTTTACTAAGAATTTAATCACATTTCATGTATAGGACAGTGTAATTTAGGCCTGTAAAAACATGTCACAAAAACAAAGACCTTACCCTGCATTCCAAGGCCATTGTGTTTATGGTTGTGTCCTGTCATATTTAGAAAACGTCATTTGTCATATTTCCAGTCAGTGACAGCAGATACCTAATGAGATTTCAATGCTTTTCAAATTAGATGTTCTTGTGAATATGATCATTACTTCTGGTTATGTTTTCACCCGTTTGTTGGTTTGTTGGTTTGTTTACAAGATTACACAAAAACTATTGGATGAATTAACACAAAACTTTGGGAAAATCTTGGTCTGGATTTGGTTCAGGAATTCTTTTTTCCCACTTTCTTTTCACATTTCAAGTTAGCATGTTTTTCAATATTTTTCGTTTTCAATGACCTAATAATAATTCATGAATCTTGATTAAATAAAAAAAAATAGGCAATAAATTCATTATAGATGAGGCATGTTTAGATGACTGATAATTATGAGTGTGTGCAATTTGTTGCAGATCTATATAAAAACCTAGATCAAGTAAATTTGAATGTGGTTGCATGAGAGCCACTCAAGATGTGCTTGTTCTTTGTTCAACAGTGACCTCGAACATGAACATTATGAAAGTACGTGGACTATATGTGATTAAGAAAAATATCTATACCCCAAAATAAAAGTTTTACAAGAACACAGAGATCTCTTTTAAATCTATTTCTTCAGTAGAATTAACCGATTAAACAAATGCTCTCTTCTACTGTACTGAAGCTTTACAGTTCCCCAGTTGTAAGCTGCTGTAAAATCGTCTGCCAGATAAGTAAATGTAAATGTGTGGCAGCATTTGAGACAATTATCCCAATGTTATTAAGTTCCTGAAGCGTTATATTCCACATGGAGCCGGTCCCACTCGCATCAGCAGCACCATGACTCTCCTGAGTTACAGCGCTGACTCAGGGGAGTCAGCAGCACCGTGAAACGTAATGACTTCAGAGACTCATGGTAAATGATACAGGTCGATAAAGTCCATGTGTCAGAAAAATCTAAATTAGGATTCATTACTTTGCAAGAGTGCAGGCGTGTCCTTTTTGTAAGAAGTAGAGAAAAAAATCTGCATAGCTTTAGAATAATTTGATGAAGCATAAACAAAACTTTCATTTAAATCAGGCAAAAAAACAAACTCCACTGACCACGCGTTCATTTCTACCCCGCAGGTTTTGACACTGAATAGGATTTGGTCTCGAGACGCAGCCTTACACAAAACAGCATTATGCAAATGTGGTCATAATATCAAATCTATTTATATATGAAAATACTTTACATTATACATGTGCATGCAGAGGGAATATGTCTTGTGGTTTATTTATTCCTCTGAGTCACAACTTTGATTCAGCGCTGTAAGGAGAGGGTCTGATAGAGAGCTTGACTGTGTAATGTCCTGAAACTGTCCAAGTCACTTTGTACTCTAATCAGTCAATAGGAAGAGGCCACCATATAAATTAGGCTTTATTTCCACTGTCTCATTTTGAACTCTGAGGTGTGTGAAAATAATAAATTGATGCCAAGACGCTCTGTCTCTGCTCAACATGATTTGTAGTAAGCATTTTCAGAGCATATTAACGGTTTTGAAATGGGGTTGTGTTTACTTTTTAGTGCTGCATTCTTCTTAGCTGTGGGTTTCAAATGAGGTTTTATTTATCATACAACACTTTACTTGTATATTCCCTTCAAAATCTAATTTCAAAAAGACTGATAATCTCTTTATTCCCCAGAAACGTCAAATCCTGGTAACTCTGGTGGAGATACTCCTGCCCTTGCTCTTCTGCGGCATCCTCATCGTGCTGCGTCAGAAGGTGCCTTTTAAGGACTTCCCTAATGCCACGGTCTATGAGAGCTACGCTGTCGATGCACTCCCCAAGACGTTCTTGCAGCACTTGCAGCTGGCCTACGTGCCCGGTAACTCCAGTGTGGTGCGTCAGGTGGCGGAGGAGGTGCGAGCCCGCCTGTCTCTCTCCTCAGGTGGGTCATGGTTGGGAAGGAAATGGGCGGCAGGTTCAGCAGAACGGAGTTAGCTTGTCAAAAAAACAAAACACATGTTTTCACCCCTTTCGGTTTGTTAAACAAGATTACAGAAAAACGACTGGACGGATTATCATGAAATGGATGAGGTATGGCTCTAGAATAACCCATTAAATTAGAGCAGGTCTTGGAATGTTTTTATGACTTTCTCAAACATCGTGTGAGAGGTTTTTGTTTTGTTTTGACATTTTCACTGATTTCCCAGGTAATAATAAAAAATATAAGGCCTTCAAGGGACTAATATCTATATGTGTGTGCACTTTGGTGCAGCGTGATTGGATCTAAGGTGACTATTGGCCCTGGCTGGAGTTACACACTCTAAATTCTAGTTATTTTATCAGTTGGAAATCCGAAATGTTTGTAACTATTTCCTCCTGATGTCAGTCTTGAGGCTCTGTGCCTCCAACAGGCTGTAGCCTTATATCTTCAGGTTGCTGGAGGGATATTGATCTTCTGACTTTCACCATGAAAACAAATCAGACCAAAATCTCAAACTAGTCCTTTTGATATGGACATTGTATCATCTCTTGAATTAATGTCTTATAATATTGATTCTTGGAAGACAATTTCGTCCTTGTGTTGCTACAAGATACAAATCATGACTCTGTAACAAAAAAGCTGCATACACGATTGGAGCCGTTCCTACCACCATTACAACCAGTGAAACAAATACCTGAGCCATGACACCATTTTTAATTCATGGCAGACTGGGAATACCGGTTCCTCTAGAAACAACCCTCAGGAGAGTAAAAGGCTCACACCCTTCTCTTGTGTTACACTGTATCAAGAGGGATGGAGAGGGGGCACACAGCCCATTGTAGCATGAGAGTACACTCCATCTCTTTCCTACTGACAGAATCACACACGCCCTCTCTGCACGACCAGCAACCCAGATAAATAATGCCGACAGTCTGACTGACAGTGTTCCCACTGGCTGTTTGCATATTTTCCGTTACATTTCACATTTTAACGGCAGCAGAGTGGGCCTGACGACAGATTCCAGGCAGCAGGTAGACAGATCTGTGTGGCTGTAGGTTGTCTTGTACACAGCCACAAGAGATCCCAGTTCAGCCATTAATGAATAATTTAGCCGGTTTCAGCTCACGGGGAAAGGTGGAGGGGAATCCAGGCTAGGTTTTATACACCAGAATATTTGTTCTGACTAAAGTAAAGGCTTCTTCATCAAAATCACCTGTACACATACACACGTAGATGCCACATCCAGCCAACAACAATTTATAATTCTGTTTATGATGTGTTTTTTTTTTTTTCCCTAAACACAAATAATGGAGGACGTATTTCTTTGAACAAATTAAAATGATTAATTAAATTAAATGAGCTAATCCAGAGTCTTTCTATAGCTGCTTTCAGATGTGAATTGAACTCTGGACATTCTCCTGAGATTTTCAGACTGTATATATGAATGCAAATATTGTCAGGCACCTGCTCCGCACATTTTCAGTAACCTTTCCTGCAAGCCCCCTTGTTCAATGTACGGATAATTTCGGCGTGAGCACATGTTATACTGCAGGAAAACTGCAAATCTCTAAGGATGGAAAACGGTGCCACATATGTAGAAGACGCAGACGAAGAAAGACGGCGAGATTCGAGAGCTTTTTGAGATAAGGGCTGACGCTGATGTCAGTGTACTGTAAATAAGCCCAGACGCCAACGTTTCAGACATTTTCCTGTTGTCGTGAAACGACCTTTTTCATATGTGAAAGGCAAACTCTGGAAAATGACCGGGAAATTGGATTCGGACATTCATTTTTGAAAAAAGCCTATGTAACCCCTTTACAACTGCAGTCCAGGAATTATGAGCTGGTGAAGTTAAGAGCAGTGTGTCGAGTGTTTAAACTGGTGTGTTCAACAGGTGATTGTCTTTTACCTCCCTCCCTCTGTGTTTCATGCAAGTGTTTGCTTTATGTGACTGACCCAGATATAACCCTTGGACCAATGTCTAAAAATGTTGTGCTCTGCCAGACTCCGAATCAATAGCTTCAATTGTGCTTTATAAGTAGAACTGACATTGAGAAATTCAGGGCTGTGGAAATCTCAAAAAAGATTGAATCTATTATTGTACTGCTCGGGGGGTTTTCAGGTGCATTTGTGTTGGCAATGTCTTCTTTGTGTTTCAGCCTTGGAGGTTTCTCTTCCCTTTTCCGTGAGATTTAGCATCTGTGTCAAAGAAAGCATGATGTGGGCTTGTTCAGTTTTTTCTCCTCAAGATATGACCCGTTTTGATGATAATATTGGCAATAAATTCAGTATGAATGCAGGATGTATTCTCGACCAACTTCCTGACTGTCGAACGAGCACCAAGGCGGGGCAATGAGACACAGGCATGAAAACGGATGTATTTAAGATAAATTGCATATCACAACTAATGCAATGTTCCTAATAACTGTCAACGTGTGTGTGTGCTTGTGCGCGTGCGTGTGTGTGTTTCTTTTCCAGTGCGTGGCTTTGAAACAGAGGAGCATTTTGACCAGTTCGTGAGGAATGATCCTCTATCAGGGAAGGTGCTGGCTGCGGTGGTGTTCGACCATGCTTTCCATGACGATGAACCTCTGCCTTTAAAGGTAAAACACACACTAACACACACTTGTAAGCTTTCACAATGCAGTTGTCTAGTGATTGCATCAAAATCTTAGACCAACAAGTCAAATAAGATATGACATGATTATCTGCTTTCAATATACATAAAATAGAACGAAATTAGAGTTGAACCCTTTCCTCCAGCGTAGCAGAAAAAACAGAGGACAGATGAAGTCAGGGGTTTATCCAGAGTGATCCCACATGGGAAACACTTTATCTGGGTGTTATGGGGATTTGACAGATGTAATAGGTTTGAAGGCTTCACACTGTCACAGCTCACAGCAGGGGCAAGATCCCTCCCTTCTGTTTGTTCCAGTCGTATATAGATCAGTCAACCCATTATCACAGCTTTAATCACCAAAGCTGTGAAGAAAGAGGAACCAAAGTCTTTGACTCTTTGTTATCATTTGGATACAAGTCAAATGTAGTCCCACCAGTGAGTTCTGGCTCCAACGCATGGTCACCTCCCAATTGGACGTGCCTGGTAAACTCCCAATATAAGGCACCCAGAAGGCCTCCTGATTATATCCACTAACCTCCACAACTGTCCCCTCTTCAACATGGAGTTTTTCTATTCCGAACTGCCTGAACTCCTCACCTGCTGATTGTGACTATTGCTGAGAGTTGCCTTCGTCACAATGGTCGACACCGCACCGAGCCACCGGTCTATATCGCGCTCTTTCTTCCCCTTACTCATGAACGAGATACAAGAGGATACAGAAAATCATTTGACCTCCGCAGCAGACACCTTTACCTGCAGGTCATGTCTGAAAACCTCCTCTTTTATCTCTCCTTCACACACAGGTGAGGTACCACCTGCGGTTCTCCTTCACCCCGCGCAATGCCCCAACCAGGGAGATGTCGGAGCTGAACCCGAACAGTGACCTGGACTGGCACACACTCAGTCTCTTTCCCCTTTTTCAACTGCCAGGGCCAAGAGAGCAGTATGAAAAGGAAGGGGGCACGCCAGGTGAGACCCGCCCACCCATCTTCTCTTTGACCTTCCTTATCTTCTGTTTTTCTTTGTCTGTCTCTCTCACTTTTTCTCTCTGTCTTTTCTGCATTGCAAGGCACCATCGTGTCCTACATGTAGGGCCCTACATCCAAATTTAAATGTTCAATTTATAAAAGCCTCATATTTCTTGGAAGAGTTATTCAAATAAGCATTAGTCCTAAACATTATATTTTTATGCTTGGACAGAGACTGCGATTTATGAAAAGCTCTTAATTTCCCACTATCTCTCGAGCTAGAGCCCTCTCGTCAGGCTGTTTCCACGGCAACCATGTCTGTGAGCATCTTTGGCATGATCAGTGTTATCTACTTTTGGCACGATCAGGTTACAGCACGGCCTTGCATCATTTGTGAGCCATTTGTTAGGTGTCAGGCACCGTTCAGGCAACATTGCATGCTCTTCAAATGCGGTGGATATGTCAGGGTTAATTATGTGATTATGATTAACCAGGGATTAGAGGAGACACTGTTCTGTTGTCCCCAAGAAGCTCCACAACTCTTTCTCATAAGCAGCTTTCAGACAAGCACTGAACTCCGCAGTTCCTCCGTATTTTCTCCAGAGGAGGTGCAGGTATGAATGCAAATGTTGGCTTGAGACACTCTGCAGTTTCTGTGGACTTTCTCCGCTTGGCATCCAAGTATAATATCCGTAGAAATCCAGGAGAAGTGTGAACACTGGGGATCCCCTGCTGGATTCACAGGGAGCGAGTGGGCAGGTCGATGATGATTCCAACGCACGAAAGACACAAAGAAGAAGAAAACTAAAATCTCTGTAGCCAATTGTGCAGATTTTATTTGCTGAAAACGGCTCTAAGTGCCAAAGGTAAATGCAACTTTAATGTGATGAAGAGGCATACTCCAAAAGATGAAGTCATCCCAGCAGCATAATATACACTGACAAGCTTTTTGGAACCCATGAATATGAATGTCCAACTTCCACATGCATCATAACTCACAACTGCAGTGCCACTTTTCTTCCTCAAGGGCTTTTTAATGTTGACCTTTAGAGAGAATATGGGACTTTTAGAAAGAGGGTTTACACCACGAGAAAATCCTTGGAACCCTGACACAGTTTCTCCAAATTTAACTGCTCTTTTTTTTAGGTTATTATCGAGAGGGCTTTCTGGCGGTGCAGCATGCAGTGGACAGAGCCATCATGCAGTCTTACAACAGCACTGCAGCTGCCCCTCTGCTGCGACAGATCAGAGTGGTCCTGTCACGGTTTCCGTACCCTGCCTTTATATATGACGTCTTCATCTTGGCCATTCAGAACCAACTGCCCCTACTTCTGGTGCTCAGCTTCACGTACACATCCCTCAACATTGTACGATCAGTTGTGCTGGAAAAGGAAAGGAAGCTCAAGGTGTGTTTCTGTGTGTCTGTGTGGGCTGCTCTGGAAATTCGTGATAGAACCAGCCAGACTAATCTTTTGTCTCATGCATTTCAGGAGTACATGAGGATGATGGGTCTCAGCAACTGGCTCCACTGGAGTGCCTGGTTCCTCATGTTCTTCCTCTTCCTCTCCGTTTCAGTCTTTTTTTTTACCTTGCTGCTCTGTATCCAGGTGAGTTTGTGTGAGAGATCGTCATCACTTAACACAGTATTTCAAATATGTAATGCCTTTGCCACAGAAATCAAGCTAAGGAAACTGTATTACAATGTCATTATTCACAGTAGAGTCCAACTGATATGGATTATTGGAGGCTGATACTGAAATCTTGGAGCAAAAATCCCTTCTAACAGATAAATCGGTCGATTTAAAAAAAAAAAAAAAAATATATATATATATATATAACAAAATATGATTGTGGATTTTTTACAGGAGATACAGGATAGTTTACAGCCATAAACTGTATTGTGAATAACTCAATATATTTTTTAAATGTAAAATGTAAACATAAATGCACATCTTTTCTGCATTGTTTATTCTGTTAAAAGTTCATATGTGTCTATAAAAGGGAAATATCAGCTTCAGTACAGTTGAACAGTGACTTAATGTCATGATTGAAACATGAAGTGCAGGACTGTTTTGTTCCGAGACAGTAAACAGGCGAGTGATACTGAGTGTTGGATCTGAATGTGTTGTTTCAGGTGAGCCCAAACGGCGCGGTGCTGAGCTACAGTGACCCCACACTGGTCTTTGTCTTCCTGCTCATCTTCACTGTGGCCACCATCAACTTCAGCTTCATGATCAGTGCCTTCTTCTCACGAGGTGTGTGATTCTGCGTGTGGTCAAATGCCTTTAAGATTCCGCTTTTGAACTCTAGGAGTAGCAGCCAAGATTCTTTAGGGTTAAGATTATTACATAATGTCCCTCTATGTGTGGGTAAATATTTAATCAATGTTAATGCTAATCCAGTCAGCACATTTAGTAAGGTACAATTTCTTGGTGAAGAGAAATGCATTGTTAGCAAGTTATTTGCAGTTCTTAGCTGTTTCCACCTCCATCTTATCATTTTCACAATTCTTGTCCCTCTCCTTCTTTGTTCATTTTGCTCATTCAGAGCTTCTCATTCAAACCTGCAGCCATCCCCTTCCAAAGCGGCTCAGATTGCACATGCATGTTAGCATCTTGCAAAACAGTCAAGGGCTCATTTGGCAGCAGCAAGTTAATTTTTTTAACTTTTACCATTGTGATTGGTTATGATTAAGCTTTAAAAGCCTTTTGGTCCATAGGGGCAGAGCAGAAGAGAAAAGACACTGGAGAAAAGCTCTGTTGTTTCACAATGAGGTGTTGAATGTCTCTCTCCATTAATCACAATGTATTTGTGCCCTGTAATGTAATGTGCTCCTTCACCTGCCCAGGCTGTTTTCCTTTATTGCTTAGACATAATGTCGCTGAGTCCCTCCAGTGTCATTTTTATGATCACTTGCCTGTGACAGACATAGCCAGAGGCATTATGGGTGCAGGTGATCCAGGCGTCCATTTGTCCCACTCTTGTGAACACAATGTTTCAGGAATGTTTGGAGAAATTCTTTGTTATTAAGGTTTCACCTGGGCTCAACAATAAACCGATTTGACTTTGGTGGTCAAAGGTCAAGTTCACTGTTACCTTACATGAATGTGAATATCTCCAGAATGCCCTGAGAAAATTCCTTCAAATTTGGCACAAATGTCCTTTCTTGCTCCTGCTGTCTCTGTCCAGCTCGCTGCTTTTATTAATTATAATAATTGTACGACTGTATATCATTAAATCCATACTATTAAATGGAGTGGACTAAAGAAGTGTGACACTTACAGAAATATGAAGTTGCTATGACACAAAGATCATTATTAATGAAGCCCCACTCTGTTTTTCTTATGAATGATGGTGTAAAGGGAAAGAAAGGCTTTTAGAGAAAATAGACCAAACCAACAGAAAAGATCCTTAAGTGCCTTGAGTGGACTGTTTTTTTCTGGCCGTTTTTGTGTGTGCAGCCGTCTGAGCACTGACACAGATAATGGTACTTAATCAATGGGCAGGCTCAAAATGTCACGTTGTCTGTCACAAGTACCTCCTTCATGCTGCACAGAAATGGAAGTAAAAACGCCTTTCGAAATCTCTCTTTCTCGTCATCTACAGCATGCAACCCTCTTCTGAATTTTTCCCCCATCTCTCCTTTGTCCTCTCAGCAGCCCTCACAGAATACATCTATCAATCAAAGAAATAGATTTTGCAGCAAAAATGGCTCTTCTCACATAGTAATTTACCTCTCAGCTCTACAAATACATGTGTGGTACTCATCTAGTGCCTCTAGAATTCTTTATCTGTATGTGTGACAACAATCAGAGCTTGTTTAAACATGAAAATGCCTAAGTCTCTACGAACTTCATCAAAAAGGTTATTCGTAAATATCTTGTACTTTTTCTTTTAGATTTAGTCGTTTGACCCCTTCTGAAGGTCATAGAGACTCGGGGCTGGTACCAATTGGTCGGGCATACCCACATTAGTCCAGATAAAACTTCCAAGTCTCTACGACCTTCAGAAAAAAAGTTATTGAAGAATATCTCGCTCTCCAATTGGTTTTCAGCCCTAACCCTAATTGCAACCCTAACTCCAATTGCAACCCTAACCCATATTCACTATAGGGTGAATAACTCTGCGCTGCTTACACAAAACGTGCAAACCGAAATTCAGTGCGGGTGCTTGGCAGGCCCCCGTTTATTAAAGGTTCTTTTCGTACCTCAAACCTCATCTTCTTTAATGCTACATGAATCTTGCTACTCATCGACATCCCATTTTCCATTGATTCCTTCTTCTTGTGTCTCCTTTTAGCCAATGTAGCAGCAGCAGCGGGCGGCTTCATTTATTTTCTGAGCTACTTGCCTTATTTGTTCCTGTGGCCACGCTACGACTTACTGAGCCATGCCCAGAAGGTGTCAGCCTGCCTTATCTCCAACGTGGCCATGGCCATGGGTGCGCAGCTCATTGGAATGTTTGAAGGCAAAGGTGAGACTTAATGTTGTGTTTTAAAAAGAAGTGATTTCAACCTGCAGTCTGTGAAAATGGAGCAATACTTTATTCCTGTAAGTCTTTTTAAAAATAAATTGTCTTTAAGGTTAATCTTGTCTTGCTTGTCCTCCACAGGTACAGGAATCCAGTGGTCTAACCTGTTTGACTCTGTCACTGTGGACGACGACTTCTCCATGGCCCAGGTTCTGGCCTTGCTGCTGTTCGACTCTATTCTTTATGGGCTGGTAGCCTGGTACATGGAAGCAGTTTTTCCTGGGGAGTATGGAGTGCCTCTACCTTCCTACTTCTTTGTACTGGTATGCTGTGCACTAAACTGCTCACACATGGATGCACACACATATATTAACTGAGGATGAAAGCAAATACAGATGCATCAGTGTAAGCATGGACCGATAATGCACTAAAAAAACAGATATGGATTCTTCAGATGATTGTAAGCAGAAGGGTACTTGAACCATGTTGCGTTTGTCCCAGCGTCTCAGTGGCTTTAGTCTTTGCAGCAGAGTCAGTTACTGATTCAATCGTGAGAAGTAAACTTGAGAAGTGCAACCAAAAAGAGGGATGTTGTGTGCGAACAAAATATCACCTTATCATCTGGGTGGTTATTATAATCACCTTTCCCATAAATGTTAGTTCAGCTTTTCATGTTACTTTGATGCTTGTAGTATTTCAACCTGTATTTATTGATTACTTAATATTTAATATATCAGTTAAACTTGGGAGATTGGATACTACTTAATGGGTTTGGTCAAGAATGTAGTTGAAAAGTTGTTTACTTTTGGCATCCCAGGAACTCACTGGCATTTATTTTCCCCTGAGAGAATTCATCAAATGGTGAATTTATTTTCCCAAATCTGAAGGAAGAAATGTTGATTTTCATCGTTGTTTTTTTCCTTTATTTCATAAAACACGATCCACATATACACAACATACAAAACGTATAAATAATAAGATAAGAGAAAAAAGGTCTCCCTGGTGTTCAGCTCCTGTGACATCATCAGGTAGTCGTAAGGATGATGTCTCTGGTTCAGTCTGCCGTAGATTAATGAAATTCCCGCAGTCAAGAGAGAGAAAGTGTCTGTGATGTAGTGACAGCGCGGGGGATTGAAAATGAGGGGTCACAGCTTATCTGCCAGAGGAAATCGTTGGGTTCAACTAAGTAGAATAACAGGAAATGTCTGAGTCTTTTCAGCCAACACAAATGTTTATCTTTGTAAGAACTATGGACGATCACGAAATGGCATGCCTTTTACGCATACACAAAAATAAACATTTCCTACCCTATTTCCCAGGAATCAGGAATTAAAGAGACTGCCAGCAGGGTGTGGATAAGATGTTGACGCACTTAACCCAGTGTCCATTGTGTGTGTGTGGGCGTGAGATGCTGTTTCTACAGTGTTGGAAGTGGACGATTAGCTCTGGTTTTTAGGAAGTGCAGCAGGGAGGGAGGTTCAGTCCGGAAACAGTCCTGTGTAGTGTGGAGTGTACATTAACAATGTAAATGTCGGCCCATTCTCTCTTTCTAATGTTTTTATGAATGGCCTAGTTCCTCTGGCTCCCTTGTAGCATCCTGTAATTACCTTACTTCATTCATATTGTGAGAAATATGTAGTGTGCAAAATGAAGTGCACTGACATGTTGGAAATATACGCTGATATTATAATACTATTTTCAACTGAGACCTTTATTCTATCCCTCATCTTTCCTCTGCCTCTCCCTCAATTTCTTTCAATCTTCACGTCAACAGCCTTCATACTGGTGCAGCAGCCCTCGCATGGCTCTGGTGAATGAGAAAGAGGAAGAGGAGGATGCAGAAAAGGCTCTGAAAGGAGAGTTTATAGAGGAAGAACCAGCTGGATTAGTCTCTGGGATCAAGATCAAGCACCTTGTTAAGGTGAGCAGCAAAACAGGACACTGTGACCCAGAGAGTCAGCATGACCCCATACTTAGATTGGTGCAGGTGGATCAGACAGTCATTACAAAAATCTATTTGCAGTAATTGGATGGTACCTTTATTTCCTCTGAGGATGTGTATGTAAAGGTTTTGGGTTTGCTCTCTCAATAGGAATTCAAAGTGGGCAACAAGACACGTAAAGCAGTGCGGGATCTTACGCTGAACATGTTTGAAGGACAGATCTCGGTGCTGCTGGGACACAATGGTGCTGGAAAGACGACGACGCTGTCCATGCTGACAGGTGAGCAGGATATAGACAAAGCAATTCTCACACAGTTATGAACAGATGCAAGCTATTCGATATTAACCCTTATTTCTGCTTCTGTTTGCAGGTCTTTTTCCTCCCACCAGCGGCAGGGCCTACATCAACGGTTACGACATCTGTCAGGACATGGCTCTGATCCGCCGCAGTTTGGGACTCTGTCCTCAGCATGACGTACTATTTGATAACCTCACAGTCAGAGAGCACCTGCTTTTCTTCGCACAGGTACTCACACATGCACACCTACTATACACTTATGGTGGGGTCCAAAGCTTGAGACCATTTTATTAGACTTTTGTGTTGCCATAAATTTTCTCAGTTAAATTCCTTTGTGGTTGACACATTATTTCCAAATTACACGTTTATTGAATGTTTTTTTATGGAGACAGGCATATCTACAGCATGGACAATAACAGGAATTTAAAACACAAAACTCCATACAATGCAAACACATTTTTATTATTATTATTATTATTATAATCGGCTCCAGCCCATGAATCTCAAAAGGATAAGCTGTACAGATGATGGATGGATGATTATTATAATATTATTTCCATAAATGTTATTGTAGCAACAGCAGTTTTACTAAGAGATTCAATTTAACATTCATTTTCCACAGTTTCATTAAGAGCAGTTTGTTTGTGACTTACTTCTTGGTGTCCTTCCACAGTGAATTATCCTACAATCTTATTGTAACTTTTCAGTTCCTCTATATACTCAACTTTAAGTGCACGGTAAATGCTGGTAGTTTAGTCTAGTTGTATTTGTATCCAGTTGAAAGGCTTCTCCAAAGACAAGATTCCAGATGAGGTGGACAGAATCCTCCGTATCCTGAACCTCGAGGACAAGCAGGACGCTCGCTCCAAGACCCTCTCTGGTGGCATGAAGAGAAAACTCTCTATTGGCATTGCCCTCATTGGAGACTCCAAGGTAAAAAGAATTTAACAAGCACTATTCAGCATCATTCATTTTGTCATATCTCTCCACCTCAATCAACTCCTCTTATCTTTACCCATCTCTAGGTTGTAATGTTAGATGAGCCTACATCGGGTATGGACCCCTCAGCTCGACGTGCCACCTGGGACCTCCTGCAAGGCGAGAAACGTGGTCGCACCATTCTGCTTACCACGCACTTCATGGACGAGGCTGATCTACTCGGTGACCGAATCACCATCATGGCAGGAGGAGAGCTGCAGTGCTGCGGGTCACCGCTCTTCCTTAAGAACAAATATGGTAAGTGGAGGGTGATGTCAAAATAGCAGCAGACAGTGTTGTCAGAGTTGATAAATGTGTAGTATGGGTTGTTAAAAGACAGTTCTCCCTTTATAGGAGTGCACAGAAATTATAAAAAATATTAATTCTTGTGAAAACAATATCTCAGGAATGCCTTGAGGGAAATTCTTGAGAACTGGTACAAACATTCAGTTGGACTCGATGATCACCTGATTAGATTTTAGTGGTCATGTTTTAGTTTTTTAGTTTTTGCTTTGTGAACATATTGTCTAAATAATGCCTTACAAAAATCCATTCAAATTTGGCACCAAATTTCATTGAGACTCATTGATTAATTGGTTAGATTTGGGTAGTCAAAGGTCAAAGTGGCCTAAAAAACCATGTTTTTGGCCTCTTGAACATGATATATCAAGTCTGCCTTTGGGGAATTTCTTCCAAATCTAAATAGTTGTCACTTGGACTCAAAGACTAACTGTTTTGATTTTTGTGGTCAAGGGTCTAAGCAACCTTGTATGAGTCTGGAAAAAAAAATGTAACTGCCTTGATTGGTTGAGGCAAAGACCTGCAGGGTGGTAATTATTGTTTTGTCTGTGTTTGAATAGAAAAATACTGCACTTGCAACAGCCTATTTCTCTTCTGCTATACTTATTATCAGAAGCCGTTGTTCTTGCCCAATAGAAGTGCTTTATATTAAAACCGAATGGTCATGAGAATGGAAAATCTAGTTATTAAGTGGAAACAAGTGATTGATATGACTAATTGCTCAGGCTTGTTCCTTTCATCTGCTCACCAGGTGCTGGCTACCACATGGTGATAGTAAAGGACGCTCTTTGTAACGTGTCCGAGATCACCCGCCTTGTCCACATGTATGTTCCTAACGCCACGCTGGAGAGCAGCGCCGGAGCCGAGCTCTCTTACATTTTGCCCAAAGAAAGCACCAGCAGGTGAGTCAGTCTGGTCTTTGTTCCTCTGTTGAACACTCACAACAACACAGTAGGAAGAGGGAAGGGGCCTAATGGTTTGAAAGAGCCCCAACCAGAAATCACCTCTGCTGAACCGTATGACTCAATGATAATGAATCTGGCCTCTGTGAAAGGAGACAGCGGCTTGAGAATGTCCCAGAAGGAATCAGGAAAATGTATAAAAGAATATATGCTCACATCTTTAGACACCTCTTTCTTCTGTTTGGTGGTTTGTTGTTATAACATTTCACAGGGAATTATGGCACTTTTGCTAAGCTATGAGAATTTATTCCACTGTGTGTAACGTGTTTCCCCGATTTACTGTTTTGTTTGTGACTTCTCAGGTTTGAGCTGCTGTTCGCTGAGCTGGAGATGAACAGAGAGGAACTTGGCATCGCCAGCTATGGAGCTTCTGTCACCACCATGGAAGAAGTTTTCCTCAGGTAGGAGAAATAGCACATGGGAGGTCATGATGATCAGTAGAATCTGACTGGGAGTAACTGTGAATATCAGCCATGACCGAAATCTGCTATTTAATCAGCCCTTTCTCTCAGTACCCAGACATTCAATTAGATGTATCTGTTTCCTGCATTATATATTTATAAACTTACCATTTTCAAGCAAAACTATTTTATAAAAGTGGTTTTTCAATCAAGTTAAATATATTAATATTATTAGCAGTTTACAAGAGGAGAAACTAAATAGAATATTATAGAGAAAAAAGGGAGTTCAATATAATACACACATAAAAAAACATGTTAGTGTGAACTGACTTTCTATGCATCAGTTTTTGTCACATTGCCCTAGATCCCAGGATCATAAAATCCCTTTGCCTTTTTTTTTTTTACAAATAACCACATCAACTGAACCTTAGTGTAAAATGGAACAATTTGATGTTTTAATTTTTACATGGATGATATGTCCATCTTTGTTTACACATCTCGGTTCCAGCTGCCTGCTGCTTAATGAGCAGTTATTTCTGCTTCCCTGTTGACTTGACATGCGTATCAATGGCAACGAGCACACAAGGCGCATCCACTGCAGACGGCAGGCGCTGCAAGCAGTTTCACTTGCATAAGTGTATAGCATCGCAACCGGTGCTGACAAGAATGTTTTTTTTCCACAGGCCTCATTATTTACAGATCACACTGAGAGGCTATCAGTGTGTTCTGGCAATAAATCAAACATGACACAGAGAAAGCTGCTGTTTCAACATTATCTCATTTAGCTCTCTTCTCGAGTTCGGTACATTGCAGCCAAGAAAATGACTTATCTTTTAGATAATTAGAAACCATTAATATGACTATCTAATGACTAACAAATGTAAGTTGCAAATTTGTCATTGCAGGCAGTCACCATTGAGGAAATATGCTGTCGTAGAGCTCAGTTTGTTCATATTTTTTTTGAATCCCTTAGAATTAAATATGTTTGCAACTAGGCTCACATATTTCTCGTTCCCTAAGCGCAGCATTATTTATGTCTTCAGAGTGGGAAAGCTGGTAGATTCCAGTTTGGACATCCAGGCTATCCAGCTGCCCGCCCTTCAGTACCAACATGAGAGACGGTCCCATGACTGGACCACAGATGACGCCAGCAGCATCAGCGGCATGACTGATGTCACCGACTTCACAGACAGCGGCACTCTCATCTCAGAGGACTGCTCCAACATCAAGCTGAACACAGGGGTGAGTTAAAGAGGAACCAAATACTTGTTGTTTTTTTTTGGTTATATCATTCAAATTGCTCACATTTCACTCCCCCACCAGGTCAGACTCCACATGCAACAGTTCTATGCCATGTTCCTGAAGAGGGCGTTGTACAGCTGGAGAAACTGGAAGGTGATGGTGGCTCAGTTCCTGGTTCCTTTGGTCTTCACTGTCCTGGCCTTAGTTGTGGCACGCACTTTCCCCAGTCACCAGAATGCCCCTCAGCTGAGGCTGGCACTCAGCCGCTACGGTCCCACCAGGGTCCCTTTGGCCCTGCAGCCCGGGGCGAGTCCCCTGGCTTCTGCTCTGGCAAACACATACACTTCACAGCTCCCCGACCAGCTAGGCCAACTCATCAACATCACTGGTGAGCACAGCGAGAACCACACATGCCTCGACTGCTCAGTTGAGTGTTTACTGACCAGATGTCCTCTTTCTGTTCCGCTCCCTTCAGACTTCACTGATTACATCCTGACCCAGGCAGAGGAGGAGGGCGGCAGCTTTAATGAGCGCTGTGTGGTTGGTGCTGCCTTCCGTGGCAGCAGCAGCCAGTTTACTGAAGCAACGGCCTACTTCAACAATGAGGGCTACCACACACCTGCCACGGCTCTCATGATGGTGGACAATGCTCTGTTTAAACTTGTAGCAGGGCCAAATGCTTCCATCGAGACAGGAAATTACCCCATGCCACGCAACCTGTCGGAGATCGCCTGGAGTCAGCTGACAGAGTGAGTACAGGGGCGTGGTGATATCATGAACTTATTACCTCCACCCAGTAGGTTATGCCCTTTAAGGGATTGCTACGTAATTTGGAGGAAGGATGTGTCAGGGACAAACTCATTACATTTTGGTGTGGATCAGGGGGCTGATTCAGGAATTGTTTTTCCCCTTTCTCTCTCAACATTTACCCCAGGGAATAATTCAAGGAAATTGATTTTAAAAATGTGGCACATTTAGGGAACTGTTGTCTAAGTCTGTTAAATGGTGTGCAGCTTGGTTGAATTGAGACTCTTGGGCCTTGGCAGAGGTAAGCGCTCTCTGCATACCTCCGCGTGACATTCTAGTTTCTTTCTCTGCTGTTGAACATGGTTTCTCGCAGGAAAAGGTTGGTGATGACACTTGCTAAGAGTTTCAGCCATTGTTGCTTTTAAAAGCCAAAACTTTATATTACGCCCTCTGAGACATGCTATTTCTTTAGCGTAGACTGTACGCCACAGGGACTGTCCACGAGTGGCATGTTGGGAGGCCTTATATATATATATACATGCAACCCCTTTATAACATTTGCAACAGAATGATATTAACTAGGTGTGTGGAGAAAAGAGCAAGGAGAGAGAGTTTCAACATATGTCCAGACAAGGATAGATTCACTCCATGAATTTCAGTCACTCTGTTGATCATCAACCTGTTTCCACCTCCTCCTTTCTTCTCAGTCCTAACCGTCTTCTTTTCTTTCCTCCTGTAGGGGTAAGACCAGCTTTGCCATCGCCATCAACCTGATGTACGGCATGGCCTCCCTCTCCAGCACCTTCGCCCTTCTGCTCGTCACAGAGTCCGCCCTTAAGTCCAAGCACGTGCAGCAGGTCAGCGGCGTCTACCTGTCAAACTTCTGGTTTTCGGCGCTGCTGTGGGACCTGATCAACTTCCTGCTGCCCTGTCTTCTCATGTTGGTGAGTTTTGACACCTGATGACTTGCAGGTATTAGTATACTGAGACTGACTAGTTAGAGCCCGGTGAGATTTGTCCAGGTTAAAAATACAGTCTGCATAGAACTGATGCTTGAATTGTTCTCGCTCATGTCTTGACTTGTTCTGTGGTCTTCAGGTGGTATTCCGGGCGTTTGGAGTCAAGGCCTTCGTAGAGGATAACCATCTGGTCGATGTGTTGCTGTTACTGTTACTCTACGGCTGGGCTGTGGTGCCTCTTATGTACCTACTCAGCTTTTTCTTCTCCACTGCTGCCACTGCCTACACTCGCCTGACCATCTTCAACGTGATCTCTGGCACGGCCACGTTCCTGGCTGTCATCATCATGACCATCCCAGGTGAGAGGAGACACTGCTTTCCATCATAGGTAGACATTGACAAAGTGTGTCATTGCAATAGTGGACACACCGTCACCTTTTCAGACAGCTGTTAATCAGATTGAGTCAAAAAAAGAAAATCCTGATTATTCTGTACTTTGTCCAAATATCTTCTCAGGTGCAGCCAGTTCTTCTTTTCTCCTGTCAGTCACAGGTTCCCTCAAACTCTAAAATTGGTCTGAATGATTTTCTCCGGCTGCTACGATAATTCAGACTTTGATTGAGCTCCTGCCTGTGCTGTGATAAGAGTAATTGTTGGCGGCTTGAAAGATTATTTGGCCCTCAGTCCTCTTCTGCAGTAAAAAAGCAGTAAAACAGTGAGAGGCACTTTGAAGTCATTAACGCATCAGGAATTTATTTCCTCTGTGACGCATTAGAGGAGCTCTTAAAAACTCAAGTTAAACAAAGCTAACTAAGCTACACTGTCTTGGGGTGACTATCTAAGAAAGTGCTCAAAGATGCACTATAAACAAACCTCGCATATACGGACAACTCATAATATATAATCATTATAATCTATAATCAATACTCTGTAGGTCGCACCGCTAATGTTGTGAATGTTTAAATTTTTAGCCCTCAAATTAAATAGGACGTCACTTTTTTAAATGTTATTTCCATTAAAAATCGACTACATGTACTTATGGTGGATTTATGGGTTGTAAAAGTATCTCAAGTGGAACGTGAAACTACACGGTTTCCCTCCTCAAATACAACATGCAGTATATGTGGATGGGAAGCCAGTGATGGATCATGTTCTCGAGGCCTGTGTGGAGAGAAGTTGAATTTTTGAAATGACAATGAGGAGACATCTGACTCCACAGTTTAAAAAAAATGGAGAAAAAAAAAAGAATAAAATAATTATTCCTGATCATTCCTGCTGATTTCTCCATCATGAATTCTCCAGAGCTGAAGCTGCAGGACCTGTCACGCTTATTGGATAAGGTGTTCCTGATCTTTCCAAACTACTGCCTCGGAATGTCCTTCTGCCAGTTCTACCAGAACTATGAATTCATGTCTCTTTGTACGTCCAGCCCTCTCAGCCAGGCAATCTGCAAGCACTTTAGTAAGTACCGTCTTTATGTTTCCTCAGATAATAACAAAACCATTGTTTGTGATGAATTATGATACATGTGATATAGATGTAATAATAATGATGAGTAATGATGTGGGTGGCAACTAGGTGCAAAGTTATTAAAAGGATAATAGTGGTTTATTTTTATAGTAACGATTGAATTATCAATATATCTTAAATAAATAAGGAACTTACTTTAGATTTTTGCCTGTTTTATCCCAAATCGAGCAGAACTGGAGCAAATCGATTTCAATCTTTATTTTCACTTGGATTGTTTGTCTCCACACCTTCACAAGCCTCATGTTCTGCTGTAAGTTCACAATAGTTGACAATAAACAAGTCAGTCTTGTGAAATAAACAAATAAAACAGAAACATTGGACAAAAACACTGTAAACTAAAACCCTACACACAGTTTAAACTGAAAATTGTATTTTTATGATAAATTCTCCACCAAGATTGTTGTATTTTAGTTGTATTACCGCATAGATTCTGTATGATCATGCTCGTAATCTATTTGACATAACTTGTTGTTTCCTCTGGTTTTAGACATCACATACCAGACAAACGTATTCTCCATGTCGGAGCCTGGTGTGGGACGCTTCCTTGTGGCCTTTTCAATTCAGGGAGTGGTCTTCATTATTCTGCTGTTTGTCATCGAGCTGCAGTTTGTCCGCACTCTCTGGAGAATTGTCACCTCCCTGTGCAGACGACGCAAACAGGTAGGTGAATCGTGGGAACACTGCACAGTGTTTGTGTGTGTTAGATTATTCCTCTGAAGGTTTTAACAACAGCCTGCAGTGTTGGATGTCTCCTGGGATATTTTCAAGGTGTGAATGATTATATTCACACTGAGCAAAGCATCATCCCTGAAAAAACTGAGTAGTAATTGTAGAACCACAAAGTGAATAGTGTCTGGTCATGCAGATATGATTAAATCAACTAAAAAACACTGCATGAAAAATACATTTTAAATCATATTTCCAGGTTATAAGGTTGAAGATGAACTTTCATAGTCTCCACTTGTTGTGTAGTTGAACTAATAGTGTCTAATCTCCTTCATGAGTCTACCCCCTGTACGCTACTCTATATTTATATGTACTATTGTCCATTGTTACCTGCTCCAAAGAGTTCATGTATTCTTCATCTTTGTTAGTAAGCAGGACTACGAAATACGTATTTCGTTGGAAGGATGTGGTTTGAGTCAGGAAAGAACCCATTCAATTTTGGGGTGGATGGATCAGGGCGAAGATCCCTCTTTAAAAATCTGGCATGTTTAGGTGTCTTTTATTTATGAGTTTGTTCAATTTGGTGCTAATGCAATTAAAAATCTATACCTAGTGAACTGAAATGTGGTTCAAAAGGAGACTGTTGGAGGAGGTGTGCACTTTCTCAGTGGCTGTCTATTTAAATATTGCAAGATTGTGGACACATGCTAATGATGCTGAAAGATGTGGAACATCATCTGAAAGCCCCTTTTCTCATAAGACGGAGGCTTAGAGGGAAAACACAATGTCTTATTTTTCAACGCACATTTTCATCTTACTTATGTGTGTGTGTTTTTGTGCATCAGTTACCTCTAATAGAGGATGCAGCGCTCCTTCCAGAGGACAGAGATGTGGCCGATGAAAGGAAGAGGGTCCTGGAGTGCCAGCCGATAATAGAGTCTATGGTCGGCAGCCCCCTTGTTCTGCAGGAGCTCAGCAAGGTACGTAGCACAGACGTGCCTCTGTGTTGAAACGGGCTGAAAAAGGCTTTACTATGGATGCATGTGACTCCCTGAGATATGACAAGGTGGTTATCTCTTCCTCTCAGGTGTACAGCAGCGGGGCAAATCTTCTGGCTGTGGACCGGCTGTCTCTGGCTGTTGGAAAAGGCGAGTGTTTTGGCCTCCTGGGCTTCAATGGAGCAGGGAAGACCACGACCTTTAAGATGCTGACGGGTGATGAGAGCGTAACCTCCGGGGACGCTTACATTGATGGATACAGCGTTTTGAGGGACATTAAAAAGGTGTGAGCAGAGGGGTTTACATTCACTCAGTCCAAAGTGTTGCTTTCAAAGTGCAGATATTTGAAAGTAAACATTTATCTCTGTATTGCAGGTGCAGCAGCGCATCGGTTACTGTCCCCAGTTTGACGCTGTGTTGGACCACATGACAGGGAGAGAAACTCTGAGTATGTATGCTAGGCTCAGAGGCATACCAGAGAAGTATGTGTCCGGCTGTGTGGAGAACGTCCTTAGGTCACTGCTGCTGGAGCCTCACGCTGATAAACTGGTCCGCAGCTTCAGGTGAGTCATGTGTTTTGTGCCACACGGTACTCATGTGGATAAGGCTTCATGCTGTGTGTGTAAAATACCATCTCACCATCAACATCCAGTGGTGGTAACAAGCGGAAGCTGAGTGCGGGCATGGCTCTGATCGGTGGGCCTCCGGTCATCTTCCTGGACGAACCCTCGACTGGGATGGACCCTGTGGCGAGGAGGCTGCTGTGGGATTCTGTTACACGCACACGAGAGTCTGGCAAAGCCATAGTCATCACTTCTCATAGGTGAGATTTCCATTGTATTGTATTTGGTTCAGGAGTGGATGAACTTAATAACGTAAAGTTACCCAGGTACTGTATTTAAGTAGAATTTTGTTTGTGCGTTTTACTCAAGTATTCTTATTTTCTGCATTTTTTTTATCTCAACTTTATTACATTTCAGAAGGAAAAACTATATTTTATGCACCTCTGAATTTAGCTGTAATCACTAGTTACTCTGTTAATATTTAAATAAAAAACATACGAGCTAAAAAAAGCATTATTATTGATAAAAGGACACATTATATAATTACTTCAAATTACTTCCACCACATACAATGTTAGACAATAATCCAGTAATATAATAAAATATAAACTTATCACTGCCTTATTTTTGCAAGTTCTTCACTTTGATACAACCTCTGTACTTTATGACTATACTTTTGTGTTATTAAGTATTTTTAAAAATGTGATTTATTTATTTAAAACATTTTCCTTCACCCCTGATTACCAGTTAAACGACGTTATATTGCTACATCCTCATTTATGAAACTCAAACTGTCCCCTCACCAGTATGGAGGAGTGTGAGGCCCTGTGCACCAGGCTGGCAGTGATGGTCAATGGCCAGATGAAATGTCTCGGGAGTCCCCAACACCTTAAGAGCAAGTTCGGCAGTGGCTACACTCTGCTGGCTAAAGTGCACGTGGAGGCTGAGCTGGAAGACAGTGACCTGCATCTGTTTAAAGACTTCATTGAAAGCACCTTTCCAGGTCAGAGACACAGTGTTACATTTGAAATGTTCATAAGAATATCATTTTTGATTCAAATAGAAAAATAACAAATTATAACTTATGTTTTAGGGATTTGTTTTCTTTTCTCTGCACTACATCAATAATGGTTAATATCTAAACATTTGAATTTCCTCCCACGGCAGGAAGTCAACTAAAGGATTCACACCAGGGGATGGTACACTACCATTTGACTGACAAGACACTAACCTGGGCCCAGGTACTGTCACAGATCTGCAAATATTATTTTTCAACAAAGTTGAAACTGAGAAAAATCCATCCCTGCACTTGTGCTGTGTCTGATCTCCCTCTAGTGGACAAAACAATATATAGCAAACTTTCAATTTTCTCTCCTTCGTATTTCACCAAGTCCACCTCAGCACGTTTTACTTTGATGAGCTGAGAATGAGGATTTGTAAAACTGAAACAGGAGAAAAAAACACAACACAGATTTACTCCTTTCTTCCTTTCCCGTTACCAGCAGAGCACTTTGCCTCTCCCTTTTTTTTCTCTCTCGATTCTTCACGCTCAACGTCCCTAATGCGGCGCTCTCTCCCCTCTTTGTTAGCCTGTTTACCCGGGTGTCACGTTTCCATCACTGCCAATCATTACCAGAGCCGATTCAAAGCCTTGTCTACTGCAGAGTCATTTGATCTGGGAGTTTATTGCCAGTAATATCTTTTCTAGTGGGATTTTTGACCAGTGGAGAAGGGGCTTTACACTAATCGCAGTTTCATGTGATCATGTTACATTCTCCAAAATGCTCAAAACATCTTGAAAAGAAAGAGACGTGCATGGAACTGGAGCTACATCATTTTATATTCACAGTTTTTTTTCTCATTGTTTCATTTCACCCAGGAGATATATTCACATCACACTTTTTCACGTTCTCCCCCTCCTTGTCCTCTGCTCCCTCTCAGGTGTTTGGCACTTTGGAGGCAGCCAAAGAGAAATACAGCATTGACGATTACTGCGTGAGCCAGATATCACTGGAGCAGGTGTTCCTCAGCTTTGCCCAGTTCCAGCACTGCATAGAGAGTGGGAAGAAGTAGGTGGAGTGAGGAGTCCGTCCATCCATCGTCCATTTTACTCAGTGTGTGTGTGTGTGTGTGTGTGTGTGTGTGTGCGCGTGTGTGTATGGATTTACAGTTACATAGCAGTTGTGTAAACAGGCTGGAGCAGAGTACGATTTATCTCCTGCTCCATTTTTACTTTGCCCAACAACACTTACACAAACACGTAAACACACACACACACACACCCACACACACACACACACACACACACACACACACACACACATACACACACACACACATACACACACATACACACGCACACACTGGGCCCGTCCCTAACTTCAGCATTTCTACTACTGTATCCTGCTGGTGTATTTGTTGGCTCACTCATGCCGTCCTTGTTGTTGTGTGATGGGAAAGTAGGAAATGGGGATGTTGTTTATTCCAAGTGATGAACTCTAATGCACCTTTTAGTGAGGTCAAAGGTCATTGACACCACTCATTAGAAACGACCACTACTCTTAATTGTGTGTGACAAGGTGTGTGTGTGTGTCTGTACGTACAGCTTGTCTTTTTGTTATTTATGATTTATTATGATTTAGTTTCAGAGACTTCGAGCGTTATTGTTTTGGTGATCGTCAGTCACCATGAGAGAGTGACCCACTCTTATTTGATAGTTTATGAAAATGTTGCACACCATTACGCCTTATCTAACTAATGAGGGTTTGCTTCTTTTTATTGCTCAATATAAAACAATGTAAATAATGTGGTGTTTTCATGGTACTAAAGCCAGTTAGTCATTCAGAACAAAGAAGAACGGCTACTCTTTTAAAGACTGTTTTTTTGGCTCATTAATGAATGCATGCATAAAATACGACTTACCGAGCGCATGATGATGATTATCATGATGATGATGATTATCATGATGATGATGAAGATGATGATGAAGATGATGAAGAAGAACACTGGAAGACCGTCCTTTCTGCAGAGGAGTACGTTTACTCCCGTCTGAGTACATATAATATGCCTCTTATGAACCAATGATTCTGTTTTTGCTGCCAAACAAGTTACAGCATCAGTTTATGTCGCAGCCATTAGAATTTATGCAGAAGCTATTTGGAGAGAAAATCGCTTTATGACGCACGCGATGCTGTTGCAGTAAAACAGCAGGAATAGACCTCAAGTTGTATCAGACTGCATGTGATCGCTTTGGACCAAGAAGAGCAAAGACTGCAACGACCTTTGGGGTGTTTTTGAACATGTATTTCTTTTTTTTCCCGCAGCTATGCATTCCACATGGTAAACCTGTGTAAATATATGTGTGTATGTGTGTGAGGAAGCGAGAGAATGACAACAAATTATTCCTGAATTCATCCAGACTAAAGTAAACCAGTGCTACGATATGAGAACCAAGAGATTGTCCCTGTGCAGTGGACAAACTTTACTGCTGTGTCACATTTAGCGTGTAGCTGCTCCTTTAGGAAATGCAATAAAAAGGATGAACAGTTGTATGGGTGGTAAAGGCAAACACAGTCCCCTGCACACAAACAGACGCCTTGTCCTGAGGAAGAAGAATCAGCGCAGTGTTTGTTGCTCTTTCATCCCACAGCCTAGTTGGTACTTTAAAGAACCTGGAAAACGTGTGTTCTATTCCATAGGCTTCTTATGATTTTTCGCATGTAATGATGAGAAACATTATTATTTTTATCTCCTGCTTGCCGTCCATCAGTCAGATGAATGTATTTTTTCGCGTCTTTCACAAAAGCAAGAAGCACTCGACGTTGATCAGTTTTGTCACCAACTCTGTATGATTTACGGCACTTTCTTCATGTTACTGTCAGATGTGTGTAGAAAATAAAAATAAGAGACTGACATTCCAGGAAGACACTGATTTGTGGCTTATTGGTCTTAGAAGGTTTGAACATCTTCATATTTTCATGTTTTGTTTGTGTGTATCTGCACAATTCATTGTTTCCTTACACTGTATGACTTGAATCAACTGCACATTCGGATACGTGGTTATAGGAACATGGGAATGTTTGAACTGCTGATACTATAAGAATTGAGTGCTGAAATACAGTGTGTCATATTTAAAAGGGGAATTTACATCAGTGTAATTGTGTACTGTACTGTACCATGGAACTTACCTTGTCAACTGTATTTGTGTCGCTATTCTTTTTAAATTAAATAATGCTCTACGCACATGGAAGCAAACATCCGTGTCAGGTCTCGTTCTTCCACCAGCGTAGACTTCGCTGAATCTGTTCTCTGCACACATTCCACCAGGAGACGAGTGGAAAGACTTGTCTGTGCTCCACCTTGTTGCTGCAAGAATAACCTCACAAAAGCAGAGTCCAAAGGTGAAACATGACAACTGAGTGTGAACAGCGGTAAAGCTTAATGCTTCTAGGTCAGACGCAGCCACAAATCCACCACTTCTGTCACTGTTGTAAACATGTAGAAACTCTTTAACTTAACTAGCTCTGTTTCAACTCCAAGACAATAATACTGTTCATTCTCTTTTTGTTGTATCGACAATAATATCCCAATCAACATCAGAACTGGCCATGTGTGGATCGATGTCAAATTATTTTGCAGCTTTTCTAACTGACTCATTTATATCAAATCAGTCAAATGTGACCTCCTTGTTGGAGGTCACAGTTGATGACACTGACTATCAACAGCAGTACCAGCTTGAAATGCTTGAGGACTTGTAGAATATATCTGTGACGATTCTCAGGTGTCATTGATCCTCAGGCAGTTGTTCCTGTGCACACGGGTATAAAGACCCACAGAGGTTAACTACCTGAAACCTCCCACATGTCACGTTAGACGTGAAGAGGCCTCTTGGGTGAGGGGTGAAATTACTTTCAGAGGATTATCCACACACACACACACACACACACACACACACACACACACTCTCTGAGTACACAGTAGATCAAGAAAGAATGTGGCCCCCTGCTTTGGCCCAGCAGCAAAATTTTGGCAATATTTTCATTGCTCATTCCTCAGAAGTCTTTAGAGTTGCACATGAACACTACTGAAGTTAGACAATAGAAAACACTGACTTCTCACAATTTGAAGCTCATTTGTTCTAGATCCAGTTTCTCTCTGTTTGCTTTAATTTAAATCAAACAATCTGAGAATGTAAATTAATTTTGTGGTTGAAGATTAACAACATGTCAATGATGTTGTGGGTCTCTGAAGACCCTTGACCTCCTCAGAGGCCCTGAGTTGTTGTTGTTGTTGTTGTTGTTGTTGTTTAACAGAGCATGCTCAAGTCCCGCTGGCCAGGGGGGAGAATGCGCGTTCATGTCACAGTTGGCACGCGCGCCATGACGTCAGGCAGAAGCTCAACACGGCCTCGGAAGTGAGGAGGTGGAGAGGAGGAGCTGGAGGAGTAACCCTCAGAGGGTATTTCAGGTTCATGAGCACAGAGCATCGTTGATCGTCACACACAGAGAAGAGAACAGCAGCAGGAGCCATGGCTGTTGTGGATGACTCTGTTCTCTCCCTCGTCTCCAGCCCCACCGCTCTGCTGGGGGCTGTTGTTGTGCTCCTCGTCCTCTGCCTCGTGTCCAGCAGCTTCAGCTCGGATGGAGCGGGGAAGGGTCCCCCGGGGCCGAGGCCTCTGCCCCTGCTTGGCAACATGTTGCAGCTGGATCTCAAGAGACCCTACAGGACCCTGTGTGAGGTGAGCTGCGGCCTGATCCGACTCATCCATTCATACATGTTGGCTTTAATACACGAGCTTGTGTTTTTCTGACATGTGTGACTGTGTTTCACTTTTTATTGTGTTTTACCAAACAAGATGAAGCTTTGGTGTTTTTACCTGTAGGTGGTAAAGAAAAGGACTAAAGAAAGTTGGTGTCAGTTCCCAGCTGAATTTATTTGTGGTAAAAAAAGGTTTTTAATATCAGCTAAATTTGGAATTTAGCTTCATAAGCAGATTATATTTGGTGTTGGCTTGATATTTATCAAGTCATAGAAACATCTTCATTTACAATGCTTTATTTTGTAGAAATGGGGAAATATACAGTTTCATAACATTTGAATCAGTATTGTAGACAAAAAAAAAAGCAAAAAGGAAGCTCTCAAAGGAAGCTATGGTGTGTCACAGTGTTGTTGATAATATATAAGGCAAACAGCACCTTATATGTACAGGTCATCTCATTATTCAGGCAACATCCACATCCTTACAGTTATCCAACAGACACAGGTCATCTGTGTGCAACTTCATGTTGTGTTATTTCAGCTTTCAGAGAAATACGGCTCAGTGTTCACCGTTTACTTTGGACCCAATAAAGTGGTGGTGCTGGCAGGATACAAGGCGGTCAGAGAGGCTCTGGTCAACTTCTCAGAGGAGTTTGGAGACCGACACATCTCTCCTATTTTTTATGAGATTAATCAAGGTCATGGTAAGATCAACACGTTGTAATATTTTTCATCATAGGCACAAAAGTAAAATTGCTAGAAATTATGGATGACCGTATGTTTGTTTTAATTTAAAAGGAATCATTTTTTCAAACGGAGAGTCGTGGAAAGAGATGAGACGTTTCGCCCTCTCCACCCTCAGAGACTTCGGGATGGGCAAGAGAGTAATTGAGGATAAAATCGTGGAGGAGTGTCGGTTCCTGATCCAGATGTTTGAGGAGCACAAAGGTATTGAGTTGATGTAAAACCTGACAAAATGTTCTCATGTGCAAAAACAACAAGTGGTGTAGATTATTTTTACTTCCTGTCTTTGGTAGGGAAACCATTAAATACAACAAATCCATTATATTATGCGACGTCCAACATCATCTCCTCCATCGTGTTCGGGAGCAGATTTGAATATAATGACCCTCGGTTTCAAYACTTGGTGAGAAGAACGGGTGAAAGCATACAATACTCAGGCACCGCTTCAATCCAGGTAAACCTCGTGCTTGTTGTTTAAATCAGTTCTGTTTAAAGGGAATGTGTTCGTCCGCAGTGAGACAGATTTGATCTTGTGTGCGAGTTGAAACATTAGCACATGATTTTTCTTAAATTGTGTAGGATACAAGTAACTTATAGCATCAGTTTATAGTTGCTTTGGGAAAACTAAGGCCCAACAGTCACTCAATTAAACCATGTTTAAATTCACTAGATCTGGATTTTAAATTGGGTGATGAATATCAGTCCACTAAACATGCCTGATTGTTTCAGGATCCAAGCATTATTCTGAGAAATCAATGAAAATGTTGAACGCCACAGACGATTTTATTAAAAATTGATAAAAGGACAGTTGGTGGGCCAAGAAAGAACCGCTTAAATTTGAGGGCAAATACATTTTTTAAATTTCGTTTTTTACGTTTTCACCAATTTCCCAAGATATAATTCATAAAAGAAAAATACAGGCTTATTTGTCTATGAGCGTGTGTTATGTGGTGCAGCTTGATTGAATTTAAATGGGACACCTTGGTGTAATTGCTCCACTGACTTCCATTCTAGTTCTTTCCTGAGCTTCACACTCTGGAACAAATGTTGTTCAATATGTTTTACAAACCAGAACTGATTTTCTTAAARCATCTTTCTACTGTTGTGTCCCAGCTTTACAACATGTTTCCCAGGTTGGTCAGTTGGATAAAAAACCGGCAGCTCATYTTAAATAATGTCAAATCGACCATCAGGGATGTTAATGTGTTAATCAAGCAACTGAGAGAGACCCTGAACACAAACTCCTGCAGGGGGCTCGTGGACTGTTTCATAGTTCGGAAACAGAAAGAAGAGGTAGGACAGCAATGTGTCATATTTTTCAGCAGACAATAATAAGATTGTGCTCATGAATATTTTATAATATGTGGCTTTTCTTTCTCTCAGGACTCTTGTGTTATGGACACTCACTACAATGAGCAAAACTTATTTTTTACCATTACAAACTTGTTTTCTGCTGGCACCGACACCTCTGCAAGTACACTCAAATGGGGTTTGCTGCTTATGGCCAAATATCCACATATACAGGGTAAGATGGAGTATGTATGACTTTACCTGTGGGTGCCTTGAAAAGCCTTTTAGTTACAAACCTGAACTTATTTGTGTGTTAAACCATCCTGGTAATCGGAATTCTTGTTTTTTTTGTGTTGTCTAAAGACATCTACTTCAAATTTGAATTGTGTTTTAAGAGTTTTTCTGTGGTGGCTTTATTTTAACACTAAGTAAAAGAAATATCTTCTTTATGACACAGTAAAGGACAGGGGGGAAACACAAGAAGCAGAATATGTGAAACATGAGTGAATAAGCCAAGTTTAAGCTGCTCCTGGCTGGGTTTGGCTGGAAACAGGACGGAGCGGATCTGTTAAAGAACATCATGTTAAAGAACATCATGTTAAAGAACAGTTGATTCAAGAGATGGAATGCTAAAATGAATTTGTGTCTGATTAACCAGATTAGCTAACTGTTAACTTGCAGCATGCCTTCTTTGGAGAGGCTGCAGCTTTATTTGATCAGTCTTCAGGATGGTGTTCAAACATGCTTTGTTGTTACTCTTCTTGTGATAACAGACCAGGTGCAGGAGGAGCTGAGCAGGGTGATCGGAGGCCGTCAGGTTCGAGTGGAGGACAGGAAGAACCTGCCGTACACAGACGCCGTCGTCCATGAGACGCAGAGACTGGCTAACATTGTCCCCATGGCCATTCCTCACAAAACCAGCCGAGACATCACATTCCAGGGCTACTTTATTAAAGCGGTCAGTCCCTCACTCAGGTCAATACATATACATTTGTGTTTGTTGGGTCTTCCACCTCTGAACACTTGGAAATGCCTTCATTTTTAGGCTTTACAGGTTTTTTTCTCGTGTCATTACAGGGGACTGTTGTG